TACGCTACGTCAGAAGCGAAACCCTTCAGTTTCTTTTTGTTGACCTATTGCGGACAGCGGAGATAGAATTCAAATTATTTTAAGAAAGGGCAAAATTAAGATATCGAATGAGCATTCTTTAAAACCGATATATGTGCCTCCAGAACAAGCTCCGCTCCGCACAACTATTTGACTTTTACACCACAACTTCATAGATATTTTTTTTCAGGAGACTGCGCCTAAGACATTCGTCATGGTTTACCTTTTGTTTTTCAAAATATGAACTTAATATGTCATGAAGCTAGGGCATGAAGTTGATTATCCCATTTGTAAGATATGTTAATATTGTTGGCAACTCATTACGAAAGTAAAAATCAGAATTCATGCTTTGCTTGTTTTTCGTATTGAAGACCAACAATTCCAATAAAACTGGTTTCTCAAATTATAACATTAATCCACTTTCGATATGAGCAAAAATCATTACAATCATTAAAAGATAATTAATTCTGAAAACTTATATTGCAGACTTGAAATTACTTATTACTTCCATCTCAAATCCAACCATTTACAAATAAAAAAAATGAAAGCTCTTTGGCATGCAGCAGCTATTTACAGTAGTGTGATATTCATACAGTCATACATGTTCGTGTGGGGACGGATTAAGAATACACAATGACACAACCCCTATTCATTCCTTGGGTGTCATAAGAACCGACTAAGGGAGCAAACTACGCAGGACAACAGCACTGCAAAGAGAAGGACAACTTGATACAAACCCTATACCATCCCGTCTGGCCAGCGTGTGGTATAGTAGGTCAAAACCTCCTTTCTAAGGAGAGGCCTATGTCCAGTAGTTGACAAATTAAGGCTATTGATGATATTCATGCAAACAATCAACTCTCTGATTCACATTTTTAGAGTTCTTAAAATAATGATTCCATATTTTATTCAGACTAATGTTGGAGATTTTCTAGTTTAAAAAGAACCAAGTTTTTTGTTTATTGAACGTATTTATACAACATTTCAAAGTAACTTATACTACAGATAAAGATATTATCAAGATATTTATCCTAACAGTTAAAGCTTGATGAGTCTGTATATATATTCTTGGATTCAGCTCAGTGACTCGGAACCAGGAACTGGCCGACAATACACCATAAAATGTATAGTTAAGTTAAAACCTTTTTGCACAGATCATATAATGCATTTTAGTAAATGAGCTTCATAATGCAACGTGCTATACAAATCGATCCACACAAACCAAGGGTAGGTAAATATTAGTTATATACTTAAATATTCATGAAAGACTTGAACGCATTGATGGTCATTTTTTTTCTAATTTGTCAATACTGATTTTCGTTCTAAGCTAAGCACGCATTAAGTACCTATGTAAAAAACTAGTTATGTTTCAAAAAAGGTGTAAAATCGTAGACGATGCCACTATAAGGCCATCTGTAAACAAGGAGGTTCTCGTTTTTGTACAAATTGTGACAATGTTTTTTTTAGGGGTAATATCACATCAACAATATGAGGGACTGATGTTACATACTGCCACCCCTTTTAAGAAAATGGGAAGGAAGTGTGTAACAATGAGATTGTTTAATCTCATTGTTACACACCACATACGACTAGTGTAAGACTCACTCGTTTGTTTTTGTTTTACACAGAACTTTACCGTGAAATAACTGCATTCTAGTTTATTCTTTTTTTAAATATCCTTTTGCTATTTTTTCAAATTTGAATTATCATCAAAAGTCAAGACTAATAGTAGGGGAGACCATGATGCTTAATGGGGATTTACTCGAGCGTCATGGGAACCTATTGCATTTGAAAGATTAGGTAATACGAGTATAATAAATATAAAATTTATAATATAATGTTACGACTTTCAGCGGTGGAAAAAGTTTCTATAGGTTTTCAAAAATGTAAGGGAATGGCATCGAAATCATATTCGGGCGCATCAGATGTTTTGAAAGGTTTGACGACTTTAAAGTGACACAAACAAGCTCGTAGCGAATTATCGCAAATGCAAACTGTCAATTCGTAAGATTAAATTTTATGCAGACAGTTCAGCTTGATGATCCTCTCATACTAGCCAAAAATCAAAAAAGGATTATTTTTGCAGGGTATGTTAAATCTGACGGTTTTTTTTTTAAATGGCACGAAAATGTGTTGTTGCGACATTTAAGGAAGATTTCTGGAATTGTTTGCTTCGAAATTAAATAAAAAATATCAGTCATGTATTTTTTTTGGAACTGTGACATCCCACTGCTTTATGTCACGCTCAAATCGTCAGTTTTTTTTAAAAACACGCTAATGTGTATGTAATTGACTCAACTTACCTTAATCTTACACGCTCGAGTATTTCTGTACATCGATTTTTTTTTAAACTAATCTGATAGGCTGCCCAAGATGCTCCCCCCTATATGTAGGTGGGTAGTACTCAATGTTAATCTGACACGCTCGAGTAAATCCCGAAATCCCTTCTAGAGCTCCCCTACTATAAGTAGGTACATAGACCATTATCTTTTTACTTCTTGATAATTTGAGTTTTTTTAATTGTATTGATTTGAATTTCACGGATGATAATTGACACAATGAACTCCGCAGTTGTCTCTCATACATTTTGTATTGTGTTAAGTTTGAGGTTACACTAATTAAAATTATCATAAATTACAGTTACCGAATATTACAAATCACGCACTTGCATCTTATTATCACTAGACTGCCTTGAGTCCTTGTAAAGGGTCATGTTTACAGATCTAAGATGCCCACAATGGTGAATTCACCTTTATTAATGCAAATAATCTATACTAATATTATAAAGCTGAAGAGTTTGTTTGTTTGTTTGTTTGTTTGAACGCGCTAATCTCAGGAACTACTGGTCCGATTTGAAAAATTCTTTCAGTGTTAGATAGCTCATTTATCGAGGAAGGCTATAGGCTATATATCATCACGCTAAGACCAATAGGAGCGGAGCACCAATGAAGAATGTTTCAAAAACGGAGAAAATTCATTACTATTGAGAGACGCAGACGAAGTTGCGCGGGTCAGCTAGTTGTTAGATAATTTTGAATTTAACAACTCACTTGCGTAACGCGCTGAAGCTTAGACTACAGGAAGGTCAAAGATGATTTGCAATAATTTAAAAATTTAATCAATCATGTGAATAACTTGCTTGCTGAGCAGAGTAAATAGAAAATCTGTTACGAAATAGTGGATTTTATCAATTAAATGATGTATCAGATCTTATATCATAATTCATAAACATGTAAATCTGATGTTTCGTCTCTTATTCGACTGCGCAACTCAGAGTTCTGCTTTTCGCGTGTGTGTATGTATGAATATTTCTTTGGCGCGCTCTGTTATCTAAACGGCTTGACTCTTGCTTGAGAGGTGTCGTTAGATACGACTTAATTGTGAATGGTCACACAGATGAAAAATATAAGTGATCTAAGTTCACGTAGTGATTAAACGATGGTCACGCCGCTTACTACCACGCTGAGTATTGTTGGTTCGATCGCCACATGAGACGACACTTTGTGTGATGCACAAATTTTTGTGCTGAGTCTGGGTGTACTTTTGTCCGTTTCATATACATATGTTTGTAAAGTCCCCCGCGACACAGGATATATTCCTAATGCGAGAGTTGTCTTATTTTAAATAATAAATAAATAAGAAGTAGGTATATTAATAGTGCATTGGCATTGGCTCATCGGAACAAAAATACTTCGTAACTAAGTTGTATGTGAGAAAACTTTTATTATTTTTAATGAGCTGTCGGTAACAATAATGCTTAATTAAATAGTCATATAAAAATACTTTGCAATAATAATTGACTTAAGAGAATCGAAAACGGTAGTGCAGGTTTCTTAAAAATGATTTTAAAGAGTCAAAGATAATTAATAGTACATTAAATAATTACTAGGTGTTCTATAAAGGTTATATATTAAGGTATATGTATCTCGTTATTGTTCATTGTACTCGGTTCTCATGACAATAATGATTACAATGAAGTCAATGCATCTATTTAGATATCCTTTTAACAAAGATTTTCGTGTGGTGACGGATTAGGAATACGGAGTGGCAACAACCCTATTTATCCCGTGGGTGTCGTAAGAGCCGACTAAGGGAGCAAACTACCTAGGACAACAGCACTGCAATGGGAAGGAAATCTTGACAGAAACCCTGTATAAACCCGTCTGGCCAGTGTGATATGGTAGGCCAAAACCTCCTTTCTAAGTAGAGGTGTATATAAAGCAGTGGACTATTAAAGGCTGGTGATGATGATGATGAAAGATATTAAATTCTTTAAAAAAACTCACGGTTGCGTACAAATTGTATACCTAACTAAATTTTAATTTTAATAATTTTGAAATAACCAGTGCAATCTCAAAATTAAGACGAATCGGGGCTAAACTCCGTCGGGGCTAAAACTTATCGTTCCTTTTGGCGCAGTCGGGTAAAACAATTACAATTTTCAAAGAACAGCACTGTCACGAGTTTATTTAACAAATACCAGAAATAATACCAAATTGCATACAATCTCATGAATAGGTCGATTACTTAGCGAGATCAGCACTGATTGGAAAGTGCCAGTCCACGATAAAATAAAAATAACATAAATGTCCCCACATAATCGTCTTTTAACACAGTCTGTTACAGTGCATTGGTTTCGAAACTGCAATTTTGTATTAAAGATAAACGCTGACTGAAATATTTCGTAATAGCGTTTTTGTTGTTTGTTTTCAAACAGCTGATTAAGGAAATCGATGAAAAAGGCCTGCTTGACAGCAGCCTTTTAACATTATAAATACATATGTTTTATTTCCAGAACATAATTATATGTTATGGTTAAACTAAATATGGTTCATGCGATGAAAACACTATAGTCATCTAGTGTAGAACCCGTAATCTCGTTTGAGTATCTGTTAGTACTGCTATGTAATTTTTAGCAGAGCTTCTCATGGTAAAGCATGTTTATAGTAAGTAAGTGATACTTTCAAACCTGTTAACACAGTTTACATCCAGAACACAACACACAAACACTGATTTACCTGCGTATCAATTTTTTCAGTAAGATTCTCGAAACGGGCGAGAATCTCCTTCACAGACACTTTTGGTTCCATTGTCTCTTCATGTATCGTCTCCATGTGGCCGCTGGACGATGATGAGAAACTTTGTGGGCATTTCTTTATCCGATCGGGGTTGGAACTTGTTTTCCGTCGAGGGGGGTCTGAGTCAGCGCGAGTGTCAGCTCCTGAGTCGGAGTCTTCCGGTGCGGAAGCATCGATACTAGAAGTAGCTCCTTCGGAAGAATTGATTAGGGAGTCAAGGGAGGGTGCGCGACGCGGGGGTAAGCAATCGTCTATGTCGAGGTCGAGACCGTAGAGGCGCTGCAGGTGGCGCCAGTTGTCCCGCATCGCAAGCGATAGGCGCGGCCGCGGCATGGTGCGCGCAAGTGCGCGGCTCCGGTCAGACTGCGCGCGCGTCGCTCACCTATCTACTGTCGCTGTCATCTCGGGTTGAGGTCGACGGTAAGTTATGGTGGACGCTACTTTTTATCACTGTTGCACATTGCAGCAAATCGAGGTGTCATTCCGAGTGACCTTGTTTGATTGATTGAATAAATAAAAAGATACCTAGAACCCCAATATTTTGTTGTATTTGGAATTAAAATGTAAATAAAGGGTTAATATTTATTGACATTATTAATTATAAATAATATTCATTAAGTTATGTACGTTTAAATCGGTATTTGAATACGTAATTAATGTTTCTATAATAGCGCTATCAGGAAATTGCGACATATTAAAATATGATACATTTTAATCTGGTGCTTAATTCTAGGAATGCTAAATGGAATTAGCTACAAGTGTTTACCCCATTATTTGCATTTCATAATTCTACTAAGGTATTAAAGATAAACAAATAAGATAAGAGAGCTTTACCTTTCTAAGGAGAGGCCTATGTCCAGCAGTGGACTATTAAAGGCCGTTGATGATGAAGAGAGCTTTAACCGAGTGCGTTAACTGGTAGCTTTCCAATCGCCGCCTAAGGGTCGCTGCGGCCACATCTTGGGGCCGTGTGGCCGCTGCGAACGACCCGAGACTGACGACACTCCGGTGCGTCCGGGAGGTGGTTGTATTTTATTTTTCATCAACAAAATTTCTATTTATAAAATTATTCTGATTTTAATAATTCCTTATGTGATCAGTATACGAAATTAAACTGTCGAGGTATTCACTCCTTCGTGCGATAAGGAAGCCCTGTTCGTCATTTATTAAAAAAAAAACAAGATTGACGTTTCAGAAAAATATATGTACATTTACTTTTGATTTATGAAATCAATTTTATTATTATATATTAGCATAGACTATAGATTTAGCAAAAATTAAGGAAAGAAAATAGTTTTTCTGCATTCATAGTGTCAGTCCCAAGTAAAGAATTGACGATGATGACCATGATGAAACTATCATTTGCACACACATAATGGACCTAACAAATGCGGCGACCATCACTTGGAAATCTACCAATTTACATTTGGTTTTCACGCACAGGCGCCGACACCGTTCACTTACGCCTTTCACGATGAGTGAGGAAACTACGGACGTATGTGGTGTGCATAATCTATGGTTTTGTGCTCATGTTTTACTTTTTAATCGGTGCGAGATATTCCGTTCGTATACTTTTTTGATGAAGTTAACTTAGTATTACAATGCTATTTTTAGGGTTACGTACCTCAAAAGGTATAAAAGGAACCCTTATAAGATCACTTTCTTGTCCGTCTGTCCGTGTGTCACCACCGATTTTCGCAGGACCTAGCTAAGTTGAAATTTATACCAGATACTGAGGTCCATTGTCCCTATTAAATTGGTTGTATAAAAAACAAGGTCCTGAGTCAACACGATAAAAAGATATGGGCAAATTTCGATTTTCGCGGAAACTTGTAAGTATCAAAATTTACCTTAATTTTCAACTTTTTTTTTCAGAATTTTCTCTTTACTTGTGCTGTAAGACCTTGATTTTAACCAAAGTTGACAATTCTAGGTCAACCGGAAGTACCCTATAGGTTTTGGGTAACCTATATGGTATAAATGGTAGTTCCTTTCCGTTCCTATAAACCTATATGGTAGTTCCCGTTGACCTAGAATCACGAATTTTTTTCAAAAAGAAACGTCTAACAGCAAAAATAAAGGAATAATTCCAAAAAATAAAAAAAGGTGAATATTAAGATACAATACAATACAAATACATTGTTATACATACAAAATAGAATTTTTAAGATCATCGTCATCAACAGCCTTTAATAGTCCATTGCTGTACATATGCCTCTTCTTAGAAAGAAGGTTTTGGCCTACTATACCACGCTGTTTCAAGTGTTCCTTCTCTTTGCAGTGCTGTTGTCCTGAGTAGTTTGCTTCCTTAGTCGACTCTTAAGACACTCACGGGATGAATAGAGGTGGTGACGCTCCGTATTCTTAATCTGTCACCACATGTATTGTTGATATTTGATTTTAAACAATAAAAGGGTCATCTCATTATAAGCGACTACCGCTGCCCATGGACTCGTACAATTCAAGAATCACAAGAGCGTTGTGGGCCTTAGAGGTTTAGTGCGCTCTTTTCTTAAATTCTTGAAGATGTTGGTTGTTTTAATCTAATTCCATATATACATTATTTCCGTAAGTAGCACCAATAATAGTTTTCTTGTAGTAGATGTACTTGTCCAGTATGTGATGATGCTTTAGTCGTTGTAATGAAACATAATTAAATCCCTAAATTGAGAAAAGATCAGATTGTCTTTTGAGTATACAGCAATTATTGACAGCAGAAAAAAGATTTCATGTAAACGTTTTTCATGTGTCATTTTGTTGTGTTATTGGCATAACAAGAAAATAACTAACCCATGTTATTCGAAATTCAAATATAGTATTCCTTATAAAGGTACATCTATATTGTCTATGTTTCACGTTAAACGCTTCGTAAAAGGAATCTGCAAGTTAGAAATCATCTCTTAAATTCCAATACAGCAATTTAATAAGCTTCCTACAAGTAATGTGGCCGGTGTTCAGGTTTTAGATTCCATGGTGATCCGGTGCAGGCGTACATCCACTATCATTTATCGCGGGAAGGCGTGTGTAGCGGAACCTGCGAGCAGACATCTGTGCGCCTGCGCGGTCAGCGTAACGGACCCATTTAACGGGAGCTAGTGTTGGTGGAAAGCAACACATACTTGCACGGGAGTTCTAATTAAATGTATGTTTAAATATAGAAAAAAGTATTCATGATTTTCAACCCTCATACAGGACATTAACACAAACCAATTGATAGAGCTTGTTGTGAGTACTTTTTTTCATAAACATAAATAATCTCATAAATAGTCTTATGTTAAAAATGTTAATAAAAACAGTTAAAAACAATGTTTTACACATACTTAAGCTTCGTTTTGTAACTATTAAAATGTAAATCTCAATGTAAGCCGCTATAATTGACATGATTTCATTCAAAAAGAAATCTAATCAATGAATATTAAATATGCATTCTGTTTCATTTCAATTCTGTAAGCAGCAGCAGGAAGCGAATGCGAATAATTGAATAATACGGATATGTGTGCAATGCATTATTACACATCCATAACCCGTTACCATTCATCCATATCCTCACGTCTATATATCCATGGAGTAGACGCCCCCTGGGGTAGACTGAACAGTACTTTGCCAAGTATATTTCGAGGCGTTGCCAGAGTTGCCAAGAAAAGTTGTTATATAGAAACGAGACTCTTTCCAAAAGATAAAATAACTGTCTGAGAGCCATACTTTGGCACCAATGGGTCGGCTGAGACACGGTACTATTATAATACAGTACTCCAACTTCATACAAACGGACGAAACGCGAGCTATACCTACGCGCCTCGATCTCGGGGTGCGCTCGGGGCGCAGACAGTCACGGCTGTACCGCAGTGTCGAACGGACTGTGTGTTGTTTTTTTAACAATAACCGCGCGATTTTTTCTTTAAAAATCAGTTAATATGACGAGTAGGAAATATTGTGCTGTTTTTGGTTGTATGAATTCGTCAATAACGCATCCAGACATAAGTTTTTTTAAATTACCTGGAAACTCTAAAAGGTAAGACTATAAAATAATTTTACTTACTAGTAGGTAGGTACATAATGTGTGTCTTTTTAATGGATAAGTATTTCCTTTTATCTCAAGAAAAAAAAGGTGTTTGGATGAATAAATAAAGCAAATAGAGTAACGGAAAGTTATTGAGACGAGTGAAATAGGGAGTTATATGCGGTTCCGAATGAATCATGATACGGTAGGTACCTACCTACTTACGCTTGTGTTAAAACTTCGGTGCATGTGTGTTTTGTTACTTTGCATAATTCAAAGTAAAGACGTGGTATTTTATTATTAATAATATTTGTTTATTATCTGTGTGTATGAGTAATACTAAAAAAAATTTTTACCGTCTGTGTCATTAGACAGTTTTCGAAATTTTCACAAAGTGTTTCTGCTGCTACTATAACAACATATACCACTAAAAACTGGTTTTATTTTCTCGGTATTAACAACAACAGCTAGACTCATATATAATATTTAGATGTTTGAGGGTTGTGATTTTAAAACATTCGTAGTCAGCTGTTCAGCTTTTTAATAATTAATTAATTGGTGACCAAAGAATTTTTGTTTTGAGTTGTTGCGAGTTGTAGGTAGGTACCTAGTTTATAGAGACGTTAATAAGCTGAGATAAAAAGTTACTTACTCGTCAGCTGTTTCTTGCATTCTAGTTGAGTAGGTAGGTGTTGGAGTTTCTAAGGATTGGAGTTTTGTAACGCGTAAGGAGAAAGCACATTTATTTTATTTTATAGAAGGATTTTTTTCGGTCGCAAATTTATAAGCCCTATTTGTTTTTCAAACAAAAACATGTTTTTTTAATTAAATCTACCAATCAAAAAACAACACGCATTTTTATTGAACACTTCCTATTCAATATACAAAGTATTTCATTTATTTATATAAAAAGGATATTTACAATCACAAATCTAAATAGAAACAGAAAGTAGGCAAATATAATTAAAATGCTGGAGACGGGCAGCCCTAACGCATGTTTACGTACCGCGCGGCTGTAGGCATTTATTTCTATCATGCGGCCGAGTTACACTACTGTATATAATTGTACCGTGGCTGAGAGGAGTGATATCACTTCACAGAAAACCAAAGTTAAGCAATTTTAATACGGTAAAGAACATTTTTATCAAAGATTGTTTGAGATTCAAGAAATTCTCTATCTTTCTATCTAGGTAATAATGCTCTATATCGCTTGTGGCCAAAGATATACTTAGAAAAAAAGCGCAATATAGCCCCGAAAACGAAGTTTTCTAGAATGAAAAGCCGTAATTTCTATTTTACGTCTTTTTTATTAGTTTCCTAATAAACGCAATTTCTATTTTACGTCTTTTTTTTTTATTAGTTTCCTAATAAAAAAAGACGTAAAATAGAAATTACGGCTTTTCATTCTAGAAAACTTCGTTTTCGGGGCTATATTGCGCTTTGAACGGAAGAGTTTATATACTTAGAAAGCCGCAATTGCATTTTAGGCCTTTTCATATTAGCACAGTTTCAGTTTTGGTCATCGGTCGTGATTCTGATATCATATATTGATAGCCCTAATAGTAATTATACCATTTCATTATTGTATGATTTGAATTCTAAAATATCTCCAAACATTGGCGGGCCTGTTGGTCTAGTGGCTAGTGACCGTGGTTGCTGAGCCGGAGGTCGTGGGTTCGATTCCCACCAAGGACAAATAATTATGTGATGAGCACGATGATTCGTTCTGTGTCTGGGTGTAATTAACTATGATATGTATGTGTTTATAAATATATATATGTATGTTAATCAGCAGTCTGGTCATCGTAGTACAGATTCTCCCTTTTCTGGGAATCTGGGATTAGACAGCTATGTGTGAAATGTGTGAGTTTATTGTGAGGTTATCTATGGTTTAATAGACAATTACGTAAGTGGTTATGAGATGCACAATTAATCGAAACAACCAATATCGAATTCTGAGTTAACTGGTTTTTCTTGGTTATTCAGAAGCTGAAATACATAGTAGTTGGTGTTGTTAAGCGTTTTGACTTAAGTCTAACTTATATTTCGAGTCGATATTACCTTTTACAAACAAAGTTATAGTCATTAATAATTCCTACGAGATGCAGTCACTGCGCATAATATTACAATAATTACGGGTTGTAAGTAATTCGGATACCTAACTTGAATTCTCACTAATACTATAAAGACGAAAGTGAGTTTCTTTGTCAAGTTATCAGATTATATTATATTCATTACCGTCCTTTTCGTCATTTTAATTAATTTACATTATACGAGTATTATAAACCCATATTCATAATACTATTATCCTTCTTAATTTTTTACCCTTGAATGCATTTTTCTTCACATTTGAATCGAATCAAAGAGGAAGTATAATCATTTTAATCAAGAGTTTTTAATAGTCAACTGCTGGACATAGGTCTCTCCTTAGAAAGGAGGTTTTGGTCTACAGAGTGGTAACGCTGGCCGGGTTGGGTAATAGCATTTGTGTCAAGTTTTTCTTCTCTTTGCAGTGCGGTTGTGATGCATAGTTTGCTCCCTAAATAAGCTCTTACGACACCCACCAAATGAATATGGGCGATCACACTCCGTATTCTTAATACGTCAGAACAAGGATGTTCAAAACTAGCAAAAAGGAAGTATTAAACAGATATAAAAAAAATGAAAAACCGTCTTTTAAAAGAAAAGAACAAAAGAGTGACAAACTTGCACAAACACAACCGAATCACTTTTTTTATCGGTAACCGTTCCCAAAAAGTTTACCTACTATTTCTATAAAATAAAAACATGAGTTTTACGAGAGCGAAAACGCAAAGCTTTGTTTAAAAAAAAAAGACAACTCCCGCATTAGGAATATATCCTGTGTCGGGGGACTTTACAAACATACATGAAACGGACACAAACAACACCCAGACTCAGAACAACAATTTGTGGATCACACAAAGTGTCGTCCCATGTGGGGTCTGAACCCACAACACTCGGTGTAGTAGTGAGCGGCGTGGCGACCGCTTAAACCACTACGCCATCCGTGCAGTCATAAAGCTAGATACTATGTTGCATTTTATTATATTGTAAAGTCATATATTATAAGAAATTAAGATCGTTACTCATATAATTAGACTACTCTATAAGAATATCCTTTTGCTAGGTTCGATTTCAAAACTAGGACTTTTTTGGAAAGCAATATGTAAGTTGCGAAAATAATAATATCATTAATAGAATCGTACCAATAAAATTAGATTAAACCAGGTTAAGCTGTTAAGATAATAATCTTCTGCCTATTTGTTAGCGCCATCTATAGATTGAAGATAAATTCAAGCTTTTTCTGAGGGATGCTTTTGTCCCTTATTTCTTTTTTTTTTTTGTGCGGAACCCCCCTCGAATACCACCCACCAGTGGGTAATTATGTCGGACTCGAACCGACCAAAAACCGCACGCCGTCTCAAGGTACCAGTAGCCGGGGAACCAGGTATACCCTAGAAAGGAAAGCTCTAGTACCCCGACGTACCTCGGGCCATCTACGGCTTATAGATGACCCCTCCTTTGTGGGAACCCGGATGTTCCCTTCCTGCCCCGGGATAGTTTGTCCCTAGGAGCTTTTTAACTGACTCAATATATTGGTTTTGGTAATAAAAATCCTAAAATAAAAACGTTAACTTTTTAGATGTTACATAACATGTTTGTTAAAAATTATTGAATATTTAAACTTATCACGAACATAGGAAAGTTTATTTTTAATATACATAATTTATTACAGATTATGATAGTATATGTCGCCGCGGAGTTTTGGAGGCGCCGGAAATTAATTAAATTGATTATTGTTATTAATTATTTTTGATTATAAATTTCACTCTCTAAAATCTAATTAGAATTTTTAGACAAGATTGTAATTCATAATACTGTATTAACGTGAAGTTTTAATTTTGGTGAGTTAATTTGATGCAAGTCTTTGTGAGTACTTTCAATGTAAGTTGTTTTTACTATTTTAAATGTTTTGATTGCTTTAGACTATCAGAACTTATTTGTAATATTGTTTAAATAATTAAGGCTTGATTTGGAATTCTTAATATGGTTATTTGTGGTAAATTTAATATTACGAAAATACGTTAGCGCCATCTGCCTCCGTTTTGACGCGCAACTAGACGTTGCCGCCAGAGTGGCGGCAGGTGGGCTTGAAAAACATTATTGAGAGAGAGTCTGTGACGGATTTTGAGCGGGAAAACAAGTGAGTGTTGAACCTTTGTCCAATTTCTCCCCGAATTCCAAATCAAATTAGTGTCTTGCTATTATTTCAATAATTATTGAGTTAAAGTCAATTTGTTAAGAAATAGTGTTGAAAAATAGTTATTTAAATGTTGAGTATTAACTTTCTAAGTTTTTCTAGTTGAAGTAAATGAAATTGTAATAATGTTTGACTGTTGAAAAAGAAAACCTTATGAGTTTCTTGTCTGTTCTTCTCATAATGGTAATTCCTTAGCGAACAGACGTAATTTCACCTACCCCCCAAACATTACTGAAATAACTATTAAAAAACAAGTCAACTCCTTAACTGTTTTATGTTTCATTTAATCGTTATTACCTTCTTAGCTTAAATAAAGACTGTAGAGCCTTGACCTTGATAAAGGTCAACGGTTTTACATTACTTTTTAAATCGAACCCAAATTCTGTTCCGATATCAGAAGTGGGATCGCCATGCGATCCCCTTTCTGCTCTGGTCTTTCGACGATTTCAGATAATCCTGACTGAAGCATTACAGCGTGCACCATGGACGGAGCCGAGTCAGATGAGCCTCCTACGTGTCCTTCGGGACCGAGCAACCCGACTCCTAGTGAGCACACTGCAAGCCCAGTATCACAACAAATTGGTAATGTACCACCTGATTTTTTCCTACACATGATGAAAATGATGCAGACCATGACTGAACGACTCCAACAACCCAATAATAAGGTCAAAATCACAGAGGTCTTCCTACCCTCATATGATCCTGATGGTAATGTTGGTGTACGTGAGTGGTGTAATCATATTTCTACGGCTAAAGATACCTATGAGCTCAGTGACTACGACATTCGCATGAAAGTGACCAGCTTGTTGAAAGGGCGTGCTAAAATATGGGACGATAACTGGCTTGTAACTACCTCAACGTGGGAAGAGCTACGTCAAATAATTATAACAACGTTTGAGCCCGAAACGCGTTACTCACGGGATATAGTTCGTTTTAGAGAGCATACCTACGACAATTCCAAAGATATTTCGGAATTTTTGACCCAGTCGTGGATTTTATGGAGACGTGTGACTAAAGATATGCTTGACAATAGTGATGCGGTAGAAGCGGTAATAGGAACTATTAGTGACGAGCGCCTTAGAATTGAATTAATGAATGCCAGAGCTAGTTCAGTGCCCGAACTGATCTCTGTTGCTTCCACTATTAGATCTAGCAAACGTTCTAGCCAAAACAATCTGAATCCTAATCAACCATTGCATAAACGCCCTCGATTTTCAGATAGTAATAAACCCCATGCTTCTCTTTACTGTAATCATTGTAAAAGAACTGGCCATTCTTTCAGTAATTGCCGTAACAAAAATGCTGCTAATCCGAATGTGAAAAACAACCGGTGGGGTCCCTCAGTCCCACCCCTCATCAAAGCCAAATGACACGAATAATAAGTTTTGTTCATATTGTTCCAAACCAGGTCATACGTTTGACACTTGCTACCGCCGGGAAAAAGCGATAGTTCCCAACATTAATTCGCTGGCTAGCAGTCACTCTAGTTTGAATACTATGCCCATGCGTGTAGGTGACATTACGATAGATACGGTATTTGATAGTGGGGCCGAATGTTCGGTAATGCGCGAATCCATTGCAAACAAGTTGCCAGGTCGTAGAGAACAAATAGTTAGTTACTTGCGAGGTATAGGTCCATTCCCGGTGATCTCCACGTGGAGAATAAAGACTATATGCGTCATAGATAATACTAACGTAGAAATCGTGTTCAATGTTTTGCCCGATTTTGAAATGACTTCGGATGTTCTAATCGGTGCGAATTTACTACACGATACCGGTTTAAGTGTTTTAGTGACACAGAATAGCGCGAAACTAGTACCATGCCCACGTGTCATGCATGTACGAGCCGACAGCGGTATATTTGACAATATGGATCACGATCTAAAGGAACAATCCGAGGTAGATCAATTGTTCACTTTGCTTAACCAGTACTCAGATCTCTTCACGCGCGGTTTTGCTAAATCTCGAGTCAATACAGGTCAACTAGAAATCCGTTTAAAGAATAAAGACAAATTTGTTGAGAGAAGGCCTTATAGGTTAAGTCCAGTCGAGCGTGAAAAGGTTAAGGAAATAGTCGCTGAATTAATTGAGAACGATATTGTGCGGGAAAGTAAATCTCCATATTCGAGTCCAATTATTTTAGTCAAGAAGAAAAATGGCGACGACCGAATGTGCGTCGATTATCGGGAGTTAAATAGTAACACGGTACGCGATCACTATCCCCTACCTCTAATTGCTGATCAAATCGATCAGTTGGCTGGTGGACAGTATTACACGAGTTTAGATATGGCATCCGGATTCCATCAGATTCCTATTGCCCCAGATTCAATCGAGAAAACTGCTTTTGTGACACCCGATGGTCTCTACGAATACCTAACCATGCCCTTTGGTCTCTGTAACGCGCCGTCCGTTTACCAAAGGTGCATTAATCGCGCGTTAGGTCCGCTACTGAATTCTGGCAGTGCCAATAATGGTCACAACGATAGCGTAGCCCAAGTGTACATAGATGACGTCATAAGCAAATGCCGCGACTTTTCCTCTGGTCTTTCATATTTGGAAAGAATCTTGATAGCATTGCGGCAATCCGGGTTTTCCATTAATATTGACAAATGCAGCTTTTTCAAAAAGTCTATAGAGTACCTTGGTAATATAGTAGAGAATGGTCAGGTCCGTCCCAGTCCCAAAAAAGTCGAGGCCCTATTGAAGGCCCCTGCTCCCACCACTGTAAAACAAGTCCGCCAATTCAATGGCTTAGCGGGTTATTTTCGCCGCTTCATTCCCGATTTTGCACGAACAATGATTCCCCTGTACGATTTAACTAAGCAGGGCGCTGAATGGAAATGGAGTCGTGTTCATGAAGAGGCTCGTCAAAAGATAATTCGTTTCCTCACCACCGCGCCGATACTAACGATTTTCCAAGAAGAGAAACCAATAGAGTTGTTTACTGACGCCAGTAGTCTCGGATTTGGAGCAATACTCATTCAAGTTATCAATGGTCGGCAACATGTAGTGGCATACTTTAGTATGCGTACAACTGATATCGAAAGTAGATATCATTCATACGAGCTCGAAACATTGGCCGTGGTCCGAGCAATTAAGCACTTTCGACACTTTCTTTACGGCAGAAAATTTAAAGTGGTCACTGATTGCAACGCGTTGAAGGCTTCGAAACACAAACAAGATCTGCTCCCTCGGATCCATAGGTGGTGGGCATATCTTCAGAATTTCCGGATTTGAGCGGATGCAGCATGCAGATTTCCTGAGCCGGAATCCAGAGGTACTGTCGGTCAATGTCATGACCAGCAACCTAGACTGGCTTATCGTAGAGCAGCGCCGCGACCCACAGTTGCGTCCCACTATAGACGCCTTGGGCACAGGAGAGGAGGTAACTGGTTATCATCTGGAAGGTAACATACTCAAATTTGAAAGGATCGATCCTATTCTAGGCCCACGAAGACTTGCTGTCGTGCCAAGGACATTTCAATGGAGCCTGATTAACACTTTCCATAGTGCCCTACAACATGCAGGATGGGAGAAGACTCTGCACAAAATCAGAGAGTCTTATCATTTTGACAAGATGAACAGCAGTGTCAGGGATTTTATCGACAATTGTGTGGTATGCAAAACGTCGAAACAGACATCGGGAGCTAATCAGGTCCAACTACACCCCATTCCCAAACCAACAGTACCCTTCGAAGTAATACACATGGACATTACTGGGAAACTTGGTTCTCCAAACAATCAAGAGTATGTTATAGTTACAATAGACGCATACACGAAATACGTGCTACTCCGTCACACTAATGATAAAAGTCAACACAGCTCTCTTGCCGCATTGAAACAGGTCATCCATCTTTTCGGAGCGCCGCGGCAAATCATAGTAGATGGCGGGCGCGAGTTCTTGGGTGACTATAAAAGCTACTGTGACAGGTACGGTATTGAACTTCATCCAATATCACCAGGTGTTAGCAGAGCAAACGGACAAGTGGAAAGAGTCATGGCAACTCTTAAGAACGGTCTTGTAATAATAAAAAATTACGAATCCCCGGACTGGCATACAGCGCTCGAGAGTCTGCAGCTCGCCATGAACTGTACGGTACATAGAACTACTGGGACTGCGCCATTAACACTCCTCACTCGTCGCCAGAACTGCGTGCCTGCAGAGTTGCTGAACCTAGTCGACATCGACAAAGCTCTAGTCAACGCTGAAGCTTTAGAACGACATGTGCAGCAAAGAATGCTTGCAATAGCTTTAAAGGACAAGGACAGGTTCGATAGAGGGCGTGCCAAAGTCCATAACTTTGTCCTAATTAAAAATAACCCTAGAAATCAAACTTCTTTAGACTTGAAATTTAGCGTTCCATACGAAGTTCACAGAGTGCTCGAGAACGACCGCTACCTTGTCAAAAAGGTCGTGGGACATCAGGGTCGACCCCGCAAGGTCGCGCACGACCAACTGCGGCGCGCCCCACAACCAACTGGTACCCAGGCGGCCGTGTCGCCCCCAGACGAACCTCAACCCGGGCCTTCCGGTTACACACCAGCACCTGGAGTTGAGGCTCCATCAAAAGCTGTCACCACCCCCGCTGTCCTGGAAGAGGACAGCGACGCCGAGTCTACATAAACCTATTTCTCCCGGTGAGGGTTTTTCAATATATTGTGCTCTTCAAGCACACACTCGCACACATATCACACACACGTGCGATTATACGCACCAAATGTACATGAATACAAACCATACCTCTATGCACACTATATCATAATTTTGACATTAGGACTTTGACTTTGACTTCGACTAAAAATAGTGTGTAAAAAGGACTATTGGCGTGTGGAGCCGTCCGATAAGTCCAATCCCCCGTGATGCTTTCCGCGGAGGGAATAATTTATCTTAAAATTGCTATTGGCGTGTGGAGCCGTCCAATAAGCAATACTCCTACTAAGAGTTATCATAGAGCGCCTCTGACCGTAAATTGTAATACTAGGTGTACTGTGGAAGTGCCTAGCTTCAAAAGAATTTACTTTCCTATTTTCAGAATCAAGCGATCCTGAGCACGTCTCGCCTCGCAGTATGGCCGTGTCGCCGCGGAGTTTTGGAGGCGCCGGAAATTAATTAAATTGATTATTGTTATTAATTATTTTTGATTATAAATTTCACTCTCTAAAATCTAATTAGAATTTTTAGACAAGATTGTAATTCATAATACTGTATTAACGTGAAGTTTTAATTTTGGTGAGTTAATTTGATGCAAGTCTTTGTGAGTACTTTCAATGTAAGTTGTTTTTACTATTTTAAATGTTTTGATTGCTTTAGACTATCAGAACTTATTTGTAATATTGTTTAAATAATTAAGGCTTGATTTGGAATTCTTAATATGGTTATTTGTGGTAAATTTAATATTACGAAAATACGTTAGCGCCATCTGCCTCCGTTTTGACGCGCAACTAGACGTTGCCGCCAGAGTGGCGGCAGGTGGGCTTGAAAAACATTATTGAGAGAGAGTCTGTGACGGATTTTGAGCGGGAAAACAAGTGAGTGTTGAACCTTTGTCCAATTTCTCCCCGAATTCCAAATCAAATTAGTGTCTTGCTATTATTTCAATAATTATTGAGTTAAAGTCAATTTGTTAAGAAATAGTGTTGAAAAATAGTTATTTAAATGTTGAGTATTAACTTTCTAAGTTTTTCTAGTTGAAGTAAATGAAATTGTAATAATGTTTGACTGTTGAAAAAGAAAACCTTATGAGTTTCTTGTCTGTTCTTCTCATAATGGTAATTCCTTAGCGAACAGACGTAATTTCACCTACCCCCCAAACATTACTGAAATAACTATTAAAAAACAAGTCAACTCCTTAACTGTTTTATGTTTCATTTAATCGTTATTACCTTCTTAGCTTAAATAAAGACTGTAGAGCCTTGACCTTGATAAAGGTCAACGGTTTTACATTACTTTTTAAATCGAACCCAAATTCTGTTCCGATATATATAATTTTGACACGAGAACATTTTGAATGTTATGAAACTAAAATTTAAACTTTAGTACATTTGATTAATCGTCAAGTTAAATATTGATTAAACATTTGAAAATCTGATTATCATCCATACTAATATTATAAATGGAAAAAGTTACATGACGGATTTGTTGGTCTAAAGTTTAGTGGTTAGTAATCCAGACTGCTGAACCAGAGATCGTGGGTTCGATTCCTAAGCCTTTTTTTTCGTGCGGACTCAAAGCAACCAAAAACCGCACGACGTCTCGAGTACTAGTAGCCGGGGAACCAGGTGTGCCCTAGAAAGTAAATCCCAGGAACCCCTACCTCGGGCCATCTACGATGCTGACCCCCTCCTGTGAGGCTATAAGCACGAACACTTGGTTCGTTCTGTGTCTAAATGTAATTCACTTATAACAAGTATATATTTAATCTATACAAATAAATAAAATTGGAGTGTCTGTTTGTAATATTAAAATAACCGTTTTTTTACTAAATGCATATGTATGTTTACACGGTACATATGCCAAAATAACATTTTTTTCAATTTTTGTCTGTCTGTCTCTCTGTCGGTCTGTCTGTCTGTCTGTCTGTTTGTTCCGGGTAATCTCTGGAACGGCTGGACCGATTTCGACTTGACTTTCACTAGCAGATAGCTGATGACATAAGGAGAAATTAGGCTACTTTTTTTAGACTAGCTTCGCCTCGCGGCTTTGCCCGCGGTTATAACAACAAACGCGGGTAACACCGCGGGTCTCAGCTAGTAATTTATAAATATGTTTTATCAACAGACTGATTACCTATGACTGCATAGATTCGGAATGGACAGTGTATAGTGTGCGTAAACTATTTATTTTATATTCATGCAAGTCATTCATTTAAATTCTACATTCTAAATTCTACATTTAAATGTCAAAGATAATAAATAATCAAATAATCTATGACCGGCAGGCTCATACGAGTAGGAAATGTATGAGGTTTAACCACTCACTGATCGATTAATTGACTGAACCAATAATAGTAGGCGATAATGGAGTCAGTAATGTAGCAAATAAGTAGTCCAGGGTAATATATACTGTAGTATAGAGCTTTATATAGTTGTAGTTGGATACACTTTTTAACTTCGACTATATAAGTGGCACAACGTGTAATTTAAATTTCAAAAATTAATTTTTGTAAGTATGTTAGTTATGTCACATCGCGAAAAGTCTAGCCGAATTTTAATAAAATCAGATATAACAAATTCAGATCAAAGAAAAATTAAGATACTTATAAATATTTAATTTTGTTCTTTTTTCTTTTGTGGTTATTATTAAAAAAAATAAGAAAAACCACTATTTAAAATTCCACTTCTATTTCCATTCCAATTCGCCATTGCAATACTACATACTTCAATCACTAAATACTTATGTAGTATATTTTTTAGGCTGGCAAACATTGCCACACAGAATGGTAATGCTTATTAATTTTAGATACATTATTAAAAGAAATCTAAAAAAGACCTTACTACAACCTTTTTTTAATAATTAAAGTTCTATCGAATAAAATACAATAAAAAAAAGAAATGATTGATCCAGTATAAACTTAAAACTGTTAAAGTAACACATGTTTCTTCTTGCGAAATTCATCATAGGAATATTAAATAGTGGACATACCTGAGAATACTGCAGAGCATATTCCGCTATGAGTGAGTGCGCGTGATGTGCTAGAGGCACGTGCAACGTCAGGGGCGGATCGCGCGAGCTCGACAGCTGCAGGGAGTGTGGCGCCGACGACGACGCACGGAGGCCGCTCAGTGATAGCGTGCGGCGGATTGTAAGGCCTGCCGGTCCTGGGAACAAGATTTTTTAAAAATAAAACCGATGTTTTGTAAAAGGAAAATGCTTGAAAAGCACAAGTTAAATGTATCTGCAAGTATAAGATTTGTCTACGTTTACTTTAAGACAAGTTCTCTACAGACACAGGCGAAAGCAAGTTTTTAAATAGTAAACTCTGACTCTTAAATATCGTGCCAATAGGGAATATGCACGTGACACCAAAATGGACCAAATTTTTTGGAACGAAGTTCCTTATCGCGCGTTGTGAAAGGGGGCTGGACGGAAAAACTTCTCACGAAAAGTTGTAACGACACTTTTTATTTTGAATTGTCACTTGTCAGTCACTCAGCGCAATCTATCGAATAGATAGGAAATCATTACTTTTCATCTCAGTAAAATTAAAATTTATGTTCTTAGGTTAAGCAAAAAATATTGTATTCGACATCATTTCTCAAGGAGATTTTACCAGTGCATAAATTGTTTTAATTAGAAACCAACTGAAAAATATGTAGGTAATAGCCGCTTTCATAGATGGCGTTGTAATTAAAATTGTGTCGAATCAGTTTTACTCGATCGTCACAACTTCGTTCCTATCGGGTGTCCCACGACACCACACGGCTTTTTTTTATTTGTATTTTTTATTGCTAAAAAAAGATACCCATACAATTATTTTTGAAATTTATAATAATTTAATAGTGAAATTTAATCATCAAAAATTGGGTTTTTTAAGATTCTCTCGCAAATTTCTAAAACGCAACGCTATTGGTTGAATAAAACGTGACGTCAAGCTACACTGTCAAGAGTGTCAACAAGTTGTGTGTATTTGTAATATTTGGTTTCTGGTGATTATTTGTTTCATTTTAAGTTAATAACTAATACGTTTTCAATGTTAAATTATTGAATTCCCGTGTATAAAGGCTCAACACAATGACTGAATATACTTTGTCAGGTGCAGTTTTGATATTATTTGGGCACAAAGGAACGGCACAATATTTATAATAAGTTTTTGTTGGCTTTCCATGGTAATAAGTTAATTTATTCACTCACTTTTTTAACTTTCAGAAACTTTGTGAACTTCACTCCGTTGTTGACATCGAATTCGTCTGAAAGTGTAATCTGACGTCACAAAAAAGCGCGCCAAAATGGACGTGTTCAAATTGCCCCAAAATGATAGTGATTTTAATAAATTTTTTGCTTAACGGCTTATATTTCAGATGTGTTATATTTATTTTTGGTAATGTAATAACTAGTAGAATCGTTAAAAAAAAATACATGCATATTCCCTATTACGCTAGACTCAGTTCACGGGTACAAATTACACGTTGGTTTAGAACAATGATTTGTGTATCACACGAATATAACTTTTACATTCAAAACATCATGACAGTAAAATACAAAGTAAATAAAAAGCAGGGTGAAATTTCGTAACTGACTAAACTAAATTTAATCACAAGAAAGAGACAAATTTGAACAATAAACAAAACAAATAAGGAATGGGACGAGTAAAAATGACCGTTATTTCGAATACAAACAGTTTTTAAGGCGTCGGATTTGCCTTGAAATGGTTTCGGAGCCGAACCCATCCAGTATTATAGAGTGGGTTCCGGCCCGAAACCACTTAAATACCTCCTTAAACCCTCTCATAAAACTAACATTAGCTAGGATAGGAAGTAATGAGCGTCTCGTATTTTATTTTAAAGAAATAACTTACCTTTAACACCAATAGTGACAGCGTTATGTGATACAGCCAATACGGCGTTTTCACCAGGAGGAACCCTGGCTGAGAATAGTCTCGCGAAGTAGAAAGGCCATGATCTCGCCATCTCTACGGCCTGGCGTTTGGTGTGACTTCGTACAGGAGCATTGCCCTGGGATCGAAGCCAGGCCTGTCCCGCGCGACGTTCGCTTGGGCTCATCCGGAGTGATGGGGTTGTAGAGTTGATGTCGTGCACGATCTGTGAAAGATTTTTTTTGCAATTAATTTTGAAACCGTAATAGTAGCACGGCGCTAGGCTATATTTAGAGAGCATCAAAACTAACAGCCAAAAATACAGAAATATTTACAACAAATATTTTTAAATCAAATAAGTGTTGTACTTCTAAAGTAATTCCAATTAATAACAAGTTTGTGTTTGAAAAGATTTTGTGCAGCAAATATCAAAATATTTGTTTAATAGATTCCATATATGAGTTTTTCATGTGACTACTTTGCATGAAAGAGCCTCTTTTCTATTCGCTTGTTCAGATTAATTGAACACTGGGTATGTAACAAGAAACTTCCCTTACCTGTGCATAAAGTAGGTCTAATATGGCTGGGTCGTTGTATGTTTCTAAAGGTGTGAAAATTTCTTTGCGCACGCGCAGTTTCCACGGTACTCGACTGTACGTGAGGAATGAACGGTCAGCTGGTAAGAACGCTGCAGGGGCTGGTGCATCTCCTGGACGGAAAAAGAAAATTACATTATGAATAGAGAAAATTTGTATGTTAACTTCTATAACTGCAATGTTCGATACTTACTCTCAATATGCTCAGTTCTGTCAGTGGCGTGAGTTGAAACTGAATGTCGTCTTTCAGCCTCTTTTTGTCTATCTCTTTCTTTCTGTACCATGTGAGTCTTGAAAGTTGCCCTTTCTGTCGTTCTCTTTGATGTGTCCGTCGTCTCTTGAGGGAACAGGATGTCGGATCGTGGGCTGTCTCTTGCTCGACCGACAAGCATATCTCGAGAATTCTTCCTGCCATCGAACCGTTCAAAATCATCATAAAACGGAGAACGCTTACGTTCAAAAGTGTCTGTCATTTCGTTTTGCTCTTTCCTACGCTCGTTCCTTGTATTGTGCACTTCATAAATTTCAGACGATTCTTGACCATTAAAATTGTCGCGTCGACCGGTAGTGTCGTGACCAGATTCGGAATCCCATTCGTCACGGCCTTGTGACATTCGTTCTTCACCGTAAATACGGTCTTGTATTTCAGATTCATCTCCCCAATCGTCTCTTATCCGTCTTTCGCGACGATCGGAAGTTAAGAAGCGAGTAGCAAGGTCATCGTGAGGAGGCTCAGAATCCTCTCTACGTCTTGAATTCCAATTGGCTAAGAAAGAGTGGCGATCATCAGCTTCCCTGTTTTGGTGAACTCCAAATGTGTCTCTATCACGACGGAGTTGTGCGAAAGTAGATAGGTCAGGTGCGGGTGGAGGAGGCGCTGGACCATCTGGAGGTGTTGGCGGTGACTTTGGCGGAGGAGGAGCGGGGCCTGGAGGCGCTGGAGGTAACGGTGGCGGTGGAGCGTCCCATCTACCTCCACCTCCAAGCTGACGTTCTAACATTAGCTTTCTAGTATCTTCTAGCTTATTGATAGTGCGTGGAGTTTCCGCTGCAGACGATGTGCTTCTTACCGAGTGATTGGCAGTCACTCTTTCCAGTCGTTGTCTCATTTCAGAACTTAGTTTTAATTTTCCAACACTACCAGGGGATGGACGCTGCGCTCCGATTTCAAAGCTTCGTCTAGCCGTTCGCTGGTTCGGCGGCTCTCTACTTGGTGATATTGCTGGTCTATCAACTTCAAACTCTTCCCACTCTATTCCCGCCGGAGTAGTTTCTGACTTAGACCGACCCCGAGGCGGTTCGTGCTCGATACCGTTTGGTTGCGCCTGAGGCGTGTGTCTTCGCTGAATTTGTCGTAGTTTAAACTTGGTAAAGTCTTGTGTAGGGTCTTGCCCGACAGCGTCTTTTGGAGGCGGCCATCTCCATTTCCCGATACGAACTGTCTTAGCACGTCCATAAGGATCAATGAAACCGGTAATTACGGAAGGATCACTAGAGTGAAGTGGTGGGGGCATAGGAGGTGGGGGAGGCGGAGGAGCACCCGGGGACGCGCTTTCATTAGACTCTCGTCTAGTTTTAGCTGAACTTCTGGGCGGAGAGTGTACTTGAGCGTGTACTTGAGCATGAATTACTGACGAAGAGCGGACTGGAGAAGTTGGTTCCGATTCCGATGGTTCAACGACCTGGCCAGATAATAGGGTTTGCAAAGCTTGATTTTGTGCCAACAATTGCTGCTGGATTTGAAGATTTTGAGCCATTGCACTCTGTAAGAACGCCCGTTGCAAATTTTGATGATAAGCATTTATGTCGACAGTGCCTGGAGGAGGTAGATGAAGACCCAATGCCGCTGCCAGAGCTTCAGGAGTCGTCGGCATCGTTGGAGGTAAGGGCATGGTGGAAAAGCTCAAGGATGAATTGGCAGTAGCTGCTCTTGGAGTAGCTCCTCCACCTTTTATGGCACCGGATAGCCCTTCTCCGTCAGTCAGACGTTTCAAACTGTCGTTTACGAAAATTGGGTCAAATAGATTCGTTATATAGTCATCGACAGAGTCCACACTGGACTCTTTTCGGCTCGCTCTACCCTTCTCTTTATCTTCTTTAGTCCCCCCGCCTTTAATAACATTTGCTATCTTAGTTGCGTTGTTTAATACATCTATTTGTTCGTTGTATTCGCAGTTGAGGACACTGTCGATGAAATCGCTATAGTTCTTGCCTCCTTTGATGCTGGCGGCTAATGAGCGTGCGTCGGACATCTCATCAATATTAGGATCCAGAACTGGAGAGAACAGATCGTCTAAGAACTGGTCGACGTCAGATGCCTGGCTCGGAACGCGGACTCGACGAACGTGAGATGCGAGACTCGGTGCTTCGGATGTGTCTGACATTGCTGATGATCTACAGAAAGGAAAATAAACTACATAAGAATACAAGCAGCATGAAAATGTTAAGTGTGTCTCTTGCTTTCTAAAATTATAATAATCTTAAAAGTGCTTTAGAGTATCGTAATGCATAAAATGAATTAAAACCAACTCATGCATATTAATAATCATACTCGCTATTACACGTTCTTAGTAAAATGGTCGAATGCCGCAAAATTAAATGTTCTTTAAATGGTTTTATGTCATTTCATGCAATAAGTGATGCAGATTTTACATTTGTTATTGTTATTATATAATATATTGAATAATATCAAATCAGTATTATAGCCAGACAAAATAAAACGATGACTTACCTAACACCTCCGAACTCTGAACTCTTCTCAATGTACGCACGACTTGACTGCGAACCAGCCGGTGCCCGTTTACCAGCATACTGTGACTTTATATACCTCGACGGCAACACTCTTGATCCTGTGCCATATTCCATTTCCATTGCTCCTTTACTACTGGTTACACTGGGTGCTCCGTGTAACCTTTCAACCGAGTGATAGCGATCATTTAGTCTCGATTGAGAGAGTCCTAAGTCGGCCAATTTCGTAGGCTGTGGTGCAGGGTTGTCGCCTAGAAGGTTATCTAAAGATCTTGATCGTACTTTATCAGAATTTTGTTCGAAGTATCTCTCGTTAAGAGCTGATTCTCTAGAAAGAATGTCATGTGAAATTTTGCGGGAATATTCGTTTGAATGTTTTGTGGTAGCATGTGTTTCTTCACGCTGTTCCATTCTAGAACTGTTCCAATTATATTCTGAGCTATCCTCGTCGATTATGGAGTCTTGTAGCATTCGAGGAATGCTCGGAGAACGAGACTTTGGTGGTTCAGGAGGTGGAATCTGAAAAAGGAAAATATTTAAGTAATTAAAAATATTTTTTAGACTACACATTAGTCCATTAGTAAATGACAGCATTATGTTAAGACGTTCCTACAGTTAATTGTTTTATAAATCATCATCATCATCATCAACAGCCTATACTAGTCCACTGCTGGACATAGGCCTCTCCTTAGAAAGGAGGTTTTGGCCTACTATACCACGCTGGCCAGACGGGTTGGTATAGGGGTTTGTTTCAAGTTTTCCTTCTCTTTGCAGTGGTGTTGTCCTGCTTAGTTTGCTCCCTTAGTCGGCTCTTACGACACCCATGGGATGAATTGTTTTATAAATATGTTATAATAATATATTACGTACTTCTATTTACAAAAGTGCGGCAAAAGCTAATTAAAAATAAATGAGTTAATTATGGTTAATAATTAATAGTTTGTCGGACCTGAGGGCGGGAGTTCTTCTCGGTGTCGACGGAGGAGCCCCGGGGCGGCGGCGCGGGCGGCGTGTGGCGGGCCGGCGCGGCGCGGAGCGGCTCGGCGCGGCCCGACGGCAGCGCGGCCCACGTCTCGATTTCGCCTACTGCGTCCAGCACGTATTCGCACCCTGCCCACTCTATACAAAAAGAACAAACATTTAGAGGACAAATATTGTGTGATGAGCACGGTCATTTAATCTGTGTCTGGATGTAATTTATCAATAATATGTCTCTATTTAAAAATATATAAGTATGTACTCATATATCAGCAGTCTGGTTACCATAGTACAGGCTATGCCTAGCTTTGGATCAGACGGCCGTGTGTGAGATGTGTGAGATATATATTATATTATAATTCTCGTAATAAAAGTTCGGTCTCAATTCAGTTCCGATAAACTTTCGATCTCACAACTGTCATACGGGGTATTTTCGTAATAAATTATTAAACATCCAACGATGATAATTGGCCTTTTGATATTTCGTTGCGATATATACACTACACCTTTCTATAACAAGCTCTATCCTAATAAATATCATATTTATTACTACGTGAAAACTATAGGTTTGGCATTTACTAAAGGTTGGTCATCTAAGGGTGGGGGGGGGGGGGGTTGTTAAAATAAAACAAAAATGGGTCACGTGGCATGAATACATTCCTTAACAGATTCGCGAGATAATCGCAGTCAAGTCGAGAATACAAATCCTATTTTTCACTTGCATGCCAATTTTCATAATTACAGACTTGAATTAAAAAAGTTATGTCAAAAAAACTAACATAATTATTTGTAATGGCTACCCTGTAAAATTCAATATACATTCTGTGTACTAAGAATCGGGAATTTGTCAATAAAACAAAAAATACAAATTATTCATCTAAATTTATTTTATCGCCTTCAAAGTAGGCCCCATCGCTTGCAATACAACATCTCCACCGCTTCACCCAGTCTTCCATACATTTTTCATAGGCTATTTGCGGTATGGCCTTTAGCTCATTCAGCGAATTTTCTTTTATGGCTTCTATCGACTCAAAACGTTTTCCTCGAAGTGGTAATTTTAACTTGGGAAATAAAAAAAAGTCAGACTGAGTTATATCAGGTGAATACGGTGCTTGGTCGAGAACTTTTGTTGAATTTTTCGCTAAAAACTCTTTCACTATAATGGCTGTGTGTGATGGTGCATTATCATGGTGCAGCATCCATGAGTTGTGTTGCCACAAATCTGGACGTTTTCGGCGGATACTCTCACGCAAACGCTTCATGACGCCTAAATAATATTCTTTATTCACTGTTTCTCCCTCTGGAAGGAATTCGGAGTGAACCACACCACGGTAGTCAAAAAAAACTGTCAGCATCACCTTCATTTTGGAGCGACTTTGCCGCGGTTTTTTTTGGTTTCGGCTCGTTTTCGAGACGCAATTCTGAAGACTGTTGGCTTGTTTGCATGTCGTACTCATAAACCCATGTCTCGTCGCCAGTTATTATACGTTTCATAAAGGTCGGATCCGTAGAAGCTCGGGAAACCATGTCTTCAGCGACATGCTTTCGCTGCGCTCTTTGAACAAAATTAAGCTCTTTTGGAACTAGTCGAGCGGCGACGCGTTTCATGCCTAAATTGTCAATGAGAATGTTGTGGACGGACTTAAAAGATATGTTCACCTCACTAGCCAACTCTCTCAGACTCATACGTCGATTTTCGAGCACTAGCTTCTTGATTCTGTCGATGCTTTCTTTGGTCGTAGCGGTTGAAGGTCTACCAGAACGAGGCAAGTCTACTACTCTTCTCGGCCTTCTTTAAAAGCCTTATACCATTCATAAGCCCTTGTTTTCGATATACACGATTCGCCGTAGGTATTTCGCAACATTTTTAGTGATTCACCACAAGAAATATCATTCGAAACACAAAATTTAAAGCACACTCTTTGTTCAACAATATTTTCCATTGTAAAAATCGCCGAGGACTCAAAACTAACACCAACAAAAAGTGTAGTTTAAAACAAATTAAATGACAGATCCCGCTCAAATTTTGCGCGCTTAATCAGTACAGTGCTACCAACATGCAGTTAAAAAAATTAGAACGACCTCTTTTACGCGGGTCTTTTTATTGACATATTCCCGATACTTTTTACACAGAGTAGTATGTCAGATCCTACACTATTCTACGACTATGACGAAATATTTACGTCTAATACAGAATAAATACTCCAACAATCAGTCTTAGATAGAATTTTTCTACTATTTTTTTTTTAAATAAACGCTTTTTTTTTAGGTGCCATCCCTAAAATTCGTTCTGTAGCAATATACCCTATATCTGAGTGATTGATGAGTGCTGATGTCCAGAAATACGTTACCAGTGAGTTGTCCGTTGTGTTCCATGGTGAGCGACCAGCCCGTGGCGGCCCGCGCCACCCCCGCGGCCGCCAGCGCGGCAGCCGCGGCGCGCTCGCACGACATCCACGAGTCTACGCTCACATGCTGGACCGTATCTAGAGCAGACATCAATAATAATACTTAAAAAAAAATAAGTCTTATTCATATGTATAACATGCTTGGGAATTGAATGTATGTATGTGTAACCGCATTGATCAGTTAATTACAGAATTTGTGTTTTAAAGTAGTGATTTTTTAAATCTGATTGCGATTTCGGTGTCATAGTGCTGTGTAGATCTCTTTTTAGTTTTACCGGAAAGTAGTCACCAGCGAGCAATCCGAAATAACCAACAAATACAAAGCGAGACTGGCGTAAATTATTATTATATAAATAAGATTTCGTATAATATTTGGAACCTGTAATCTCAACGAGGTTTTTATCATTTTTTTATTATAATTAACAAATATATAATTTAAAAAAGTTTGTGTTGTGATCGATTTGCATTACGGTGTAGTGTTCGAATGTGTCATCAACGAAGACGTTCAGCATATCAATGGTATATCATCAAGCTTTCTTTTGTACCTAACATTCATTTTCAGGCCTTTTATTACTAAAATAATAACTGATAGTTTTGTACTATAGGTTCTTACAACAGTTAGCAGAGAAACAGCTTAAAGATTAGAGTATTGTATCTAAAGTAAAACTAATTGTAGTAAAAAGACCTACAAAATTTATTTTTTATTTTTATTATTTTTGAATTTTTCGTAATCTTGGTATAGTTGTGTAAAAAGTATTGTGTATATGTATTACGTATATTGTGTTATATTATACGTTTATAAAAAAGGGTTTAGTAATTTTTATCTACGTTTTGTTTTTGAAATTGTTTGAAGTATTTAAATATTTAGGGTCTAGACAGCGTCGGCCCCAGTAGTACGATCGTTACGGTTACCGTCGTATAGTCGTAGCGGCAGAGCGGGTTTGGCGTCGGTGTTGGCGGCCTTCCACTCGAGCATGGTGGGGGGGCAGCGGCGCGCCACACCGGCCCCGCGCGCCCCGCTGGCGCCGCCGCCGCACAGCGCGCGCACCAGCGCCGCCCGCCACCGCCCCGCAGCGCGCTCCGACACGAACCGCACCAGGTACCTGCGGGGGCGATACGACACTGCCTTTATATCCACGAACGAGCAGACGGACCGACTATCATTTTAATTTCACTTACGTAATAGGAAGTAAGCTTATTGTGGAGATAATATAATTCTAAATAAACTTTGGTACTTATAATTTCTAAAGATATATATTATTTAGATAAATTACATCCAGACACACAGAACAAATGATCGTCCTCATCACATAACATTTGTCCAGGATGAGAATTGAACCCACGATCTATGGCTTAGCAGTTAGAATTGCTAAATTTACTTACTGTTTCCATTCAAGAAAAAAGGATATATTATAAAGAAAACTCACAGTTTAAAATAACTCTTACTCAGCCATAACATAGAATTTTCAAACATAACAATACACATTAACTACCACTACTTTATTACTTGATAACGTTACTGAAAATATATTATTTTATATTTGAAGTATGAAAAGGGATTCCAATCATCGAAAATGTCGAGGCTAATTCACCCAAACAGTTTTCCAAGCCTCAAGAAAGTATTTTGAAGATGTTAAACAAAGTTATAGCAGCTCTGTATACATCCTAAAAATATCATTAGTTTCATTCCAATTAAATTAATTTAATTTATAAAAGTTTAGAGTTTCCGGTGAATTCACTACACAAATGTTGAACAGTTTTTTTAAAAAGGTCTACTAGCAACCGAAATTACTAGTATTTCCGTTAACCCCTCCCGCTATGTTTAATTGCTTGTGTTAGGAGTAGGTTCACGTCGGTAGGGTACTGATCAGGATTTGAACCCACGACCTTTTGATTGCAAGTTCAACGCCTTAACTGCTAGGCTACCGCCGCTTTTTGCTACGTAAGCTAAGGTAACCAATCAATAATAATACTAACTTATGCAACGGCGGTCCCGGCTGGAAGGCAGCGAGACAATGTGCCATAAGTTGCCACACTCGATCAGCAGGGTTGTCACCGCTCGCCTGGTTGCATATCTGCACCAACACTTCATCGCGCAGACCTCGTGACGCGAGACCACGGGACGCTATGTAGTCCGCCAGGACCTGGAAAATAATATTTCAGACATCTGACACAAAACGCCATCAAATTTCAAACTAAGCAGAGCTTGTACTATGAAAGCTAGATTAACTGATAGAATACTTATATACTTTTTTCGTAAATACATACATATAAAACACACAAACGCCGAAACAAATATTGACAGATCATACAAACATTTAGTGCGACCCGGAAATAGAACCCAAGACCTCAGCAGACCAGTCGTATATGCTACCACTGCACTACCGAGGCAGTCAATTTTTTTTTTCAAATCAGTTATGAGAAGTTGTCAATTTCCTTTATAGAATGCTTATAACAATTATATCACAGTACGAGCTCTGCTCGCGATACTAAACTAGTGGCATCAGACTGCTGTATGTAGAATGTGTGAGGTTATTATTATTATTAACTAGAATAAATTTACAGATAAAAACATTCTTGTAAGCGATTTGTATTTCGTGTCAAAATTTAAGCTCAATCGAAGCAGATTCGCGCTATTGTCACTTGTAATTTCTAGAATCTTTAATACTTCAATTGTCAAAAATAGTGAACTCTCGGAACCGTATAAGTCTTGACACACTATTTATTAGAAACTAAATGAAGAAGTGGTAATTGTTTACTACCTTTTGTCTGGCTTCATTTCCTGCAGCAGTTTCATCGCACCATCTCAATATCAACTTGAAGGTAGCGACAGCATCGTTAAAATCTTGATCTCTGTGAAAATTATAAATCAATTTAAGAAGATCTAGTATATTTCTTCAATCTTTCTTCAAAATGATTTCATTTTTAATATTAGACTGCGTGATTTCTAATGGACTGTTGAATACATAAGGTCTACATTTTACTTACTAAACTTAAAAAGTAATAATTGGCCGTTATACTAGTCATGCTCAAAACTAAAAACAAAACAATTTTTAAATAAACAAACATAAACATAAGTATCATCCCATCAACACATAAACATCTGTGTGGTGAAGGATTAAGAATACGGAATGTCACCATTCATCCCATGGGTGTCGTAAGAGCTGACTAAGAGAACAATCTGCACAGGACAACAGCACTGCAAAAAGAAGGAAAACTTGAAACAAATCCTATACCAACCCGTCTGGCCAGCGTGGTATAGTAGGCCAAAACCTCCTTTCTAAGGAGAGGCCTATGTCCAGCTATGGCCTATTATAGGCTGTTGATGATGATGATGAAACATAAGTATAGTGTAATAACATTTTAAAATATTTAAAAAATCATACCTAACAGCAGCTTTAGCCAAAAACGGTCTAGTAATGGGATGTTTTCTGGGACTGAGGTGCCCGCCGTCAGCGAAGTAAACAGAGCTGAACTTGGAGAACGCGAACTGATTGAGGTCGCGGGGCAACTGAATCCGTTCTTCTTCTGCGTATACGTCACCAGACACCTACACAAGATGGTAATAAATTAGTTTGGTCATTATTATATTGTTTACTATTATATTGGTTAGCGTAACGTAAAAAATATTGACACAAATTTGAAGTATATAAAAAACTGGTTCTATTTTTAAACGACAAATACCTAGTTGTGACGTCATAATTGTTTATCATCAAAACATTCACTTTTAATGATTGGTTAACGAACTCGAAAATAGAAAATCATTATGGAGAAAACAATAAATTTAAAAAAGTGTCATACCTTCGCAATGTTCCTTTCCGAATGTGGGGGTTGCCACTCGTCAAGCTTGGACAGTATGAAGGCGAGCTCAGCTGGCACTTCCAGCACTTGTAGACTCTCCGCCTTTGCTTTCTGTGCAGCCTTTTGTTCGGCCTTTTGTTCGGCCCTCTGTTCCGCCTTCTGTTCGGCCTTCTGTTCAGCAGCTCGACGTCTATATGGAAAAATAAAATATAAATACACTTTTAACTATGTAAAGTTATTTAAAGGATAATTTGTTTGTGAATAGATTTAGTAGAATACAGCGTTGAAATAGAGCTGTCTAAAATTCATTACACATTCTTATACAAGCACAGACACGATACACTTGTACGTCTAAGTATAAAATACTAATAAATATTTAAATTACTAGCTTTTGCCCGCAGCTCCGCCCGCGTAAATGTCGGTTATCGTCCACAAGAATCAAAGTATCTTCATACCAAATTTCATCTAAGCGGTTCAGCGGTTTTTTATTCCCCATGCAAACTTAGACCCCAATTTACACCCCCTTAACGGATGTTTTCTGGGATAAAAACTACCCTATGTCCTTTCCCGGGACTCGGAAGATCTTTTTACAAAATTTCTTCTAAATCGGTTCTGCGGTTTAAGCGTGAAGGTAACAGACAGACACACACTTTCACATTTATAATATTATTATGGATATGGATTTATTGAGCAGCGATTAATTAGTAAGCCATTTAATCTTTATTTTTATATAACACCCCATTTACTCGTAAACCGTATACAGAACTGCTAGTTCTAGTAACAGTTTGAAATCAAATTCAAATTGTCCATTGCCTTTTTTATATTTTCCTAAATATTATAAAATGATAGATTAACACACACAGTCATCGCAGCAACAAAGAAGGAGCGAGTGTTACAGTAATCGCTTTTCCGCGATCTTGCCGTTACACGTCCCGTATTACACATTTCAGTCCCTTTTCACGAAAGGTGTAGGTACATACTTAGCGGCCGCCTGCTGCGCTTCAGCCCGGCGCCGCTGCTGCTCCCTGAGCGCGGCGAAGCGGCGCCGCGCGCGCCGGCCCCGCACCAGCGCCTGCGCACGCACGACCCCGCGCTGCGCGCACAGGAACCTTCGCCGTTGACGCACACCACGCCACCATGCTTGCACCACCACGGTCGACTCGCGGATCTGACCGTAGTGTTTCCTGAAACACCACACATAGATATTTATTATTTTTGTACACAATCATTGAGTTTCTTCAACTAAATGATTACTATTAAAAAAGTCAACCGTAATAAACTCTTCGTTCTTTAATGTTCTATTCCTAAGGGTAGTATTTTTTAAGTTTGAATCACCGGGATCACACGGGTGGTATCTCCTTCCAAATAAAAGTAAAAACCACATATTTACGTAAATGATAAAGTTCTGAGATAACAAACATATACAGAAATTACGAGTGCAAACGTAATGAGAACCTCCTTCTTTTTAAGTCAGTTAAAAGGGACATCCACGTTTTATTTGATTGTTTTCATTAGAAACGGAAATATCATTCTCGTTTATATGCTAGTATACTATTTTTTGAATCAATGCCTACCCGGACAGGCAAACACGATACAGAGCCATCACGGTCCTCAGTTACAACTTCCACTTTTATAAGATTTTTGATACACGCTCCGGCTAAGGGTAATTAAAACACCAAACTACACTCATACTGTTCGTACATTGTTGTGAATGTAAGGTTTTTGTGATTGAGTAAGTCTATTAGCTAACTTAATTAGTGGCTATTAACTTAACCGCATTTACACATTTGTGTGACTGTCTCGACGTGACCTTTCTCGATGTAATCAATATGTTACTTATAAACTTCATTGATATAAAAAATAACATTTTATTTAGTTAAAACTACACCTTACTATGAATATAACAAAATTTTATAATTTTTATTTTGACATTTATACCAAGGACTAATAAATACGATTTTTAAGAAAAACTTTTTTTGAAAATATATATCCACCAATTACTTATTTTTTAATTTTCATATACACAATGTCATTCTCACAAATAAGACGATTCTAATGACACCTCAAACCCCAAAATCCATTAAGCCGTTTATAGTACAAAGCGTGCCAAAGAAATATACCAACATACACTCGAAAAATTTAACCCACCTGACACAGTCGGATAAAGAAAAAACAATTAAATTTGCTTCAAAACGTAGTAAAGGGCCAGAAACTGGCTAATGTTTGATTATAATATGTAATATATTTTATATGTAATAAATTAACCATACTTTTCATATATGTATAGAACATCAAGTGATTTATAAAACCATACCGAGCCAGATAGCCGCGGAAGTGTGCTTGCAGCGTAGTAGCCGCTGCTCGTAACTTGTCACCACGGGCTCTCTCCAGCCCTCTGTGCAGCGCCTCTCTGAGGAACACTCGCGCGGCGCCTAACTGGTAGTCAGCACCAGCTGATAAAAAAAAACAATATAAATAAATGAGGTGAATCTCTTTTTGCATTCAGGGCTTTACTATCACTTTACGTTAGTCAGACTCCAAGCAAATAACACCGAGTACAAACACATGCCAAACAAGCAGGTGACTCTACCGTGATCATAAAGGCACGCGAGCCACAGTCTCAGATCTGTTTCTGCAAGGGTAAGGTTAGTCTGACTCTTACCCGCAGGCCCAACTATCACTATGCTAAACTGCAAATCCAATAGATATTAAACAACTAGAAATAAATACACGTACACATCTGCAGTAACCATTTTTTTAGATTTTTTATTGGCATTAAATATATAATTGTTTTTTTTTTCATTATTTGTAAGTCAGATGTTGAACATGTAAACTCTTTTGTCTCAGTTCCATAAACAAAAGAATTATTAAAAACAAATCAGTAGATTAATAAAATTATCATAAAATTAATTCTAAGATGAGAACTCACAATTCGCTAACTTATTTCACTAATTAAAAAAAATACCAATACTAATAAAATACTGATAAAAATCACTACAAGTACTTACAAAAAATCAAAGCTCGTAACGCGACTCTATGTTTTTTTATTCGTTTCCAAAACTTTCCCATTCTTCCACAGAACTATACACCTCACAATGATAGAACGTACTGTGCCTCCTCTGACCCATTCACTAAATATTATTTTGACCACAGGTTTTTGATAAACGTAAAATAATGATACTGAAGATAGTTTTTAATTAGTTTCGTTATTAATTATTATTATCAGCGCGAATTCCAAAGATAGATATACTTTTCATACATGTTTTTATATGGTTCTATACCAAGCTAACGAGCAAACAGGTCAGAATAATGGTAAGCAAATGCAATTCTAATGGCAAATATGATGATTCGATATAAAAAAAATACTTATTAAATTGTTTTAAAGTTGTATCTGAGGGTCAAGTGTGAGTTTACGCTACATCAACTCGCTCTCAATAAGATTTCAGTGCAGGCCTTGACTCGCACATGGGCCTCTGTAGGCCAAGTGCGAGTTTATTTCACATGAACTGGCTCTCGACAGCGAGTACATTCGGCCTTGAGATTGGTTTAGAGTTCAGCGCAAACCAATCACAACGACGGTGAACGCGGTCAACGTCACGATCGAGTAGAATTGAAATAAACTTAAATTGTTTAAGATTTCAGAGGATCTCTTTTGAAATCTTAAACAATCACATCGCCGTACGCGCTCGCTGTCGAGCCGATCCTCCTGTCCTCAGTGCGGGCCGATCGCAACGCTAACGCGGTCACGCGATCGAGTCGATGTGAAATCAACTTACACTAGGGCCTCTGGTTCTATCAACTTGGTTAAACGAGTGACTGTGATTACCAGAAGCCAAAACCTCCCCTCCTCCTGGTTCTGGGGAGGGGACACTCAATTCACTTGTGTTTCTGTTGAGTTGCATGTGTCCATACGCGGCAGTAGTCACTAATATGTGACCCACATCCTCGATTGACCCTTATACCATAAAAGAAACTAGTATCTATGTGAGTGTTTACCGGCGCCAGTGGGGGGCATCTCAGCGAGTATTGAATTACAAATCTCTCTGTATGGTGTTGCACGGGTCGGTGTAGATGTCAACAGGTACCTGAAATAAAGGTCTTGTATTATAATTAAACCTCCTTTCTAAGGAGAGGCCTATGTCCAGCAGTGGACTATTAAAGGCTGTTGATGTGATGTGATTATAATTAGGGTGAAGTTTCAGTAATTCTAATGACCCCGTTTTAAACCTTTTTTTGTTATACCTAAACGAAAACTCCCGCACTAGGAATAAATCCGGTGTTGCGGGGGACTTTAAAAACATACATGAAACGGACACAAATAAAAATCCAGCCTCAGAACCACAGTTTGTGGATCACACAAAGTGTTGTCCCGTGTGGGGATCCAACCCACAACACCCAGCGCAGTAGGTAGTAGTAGTAGGTGACCGCTTAAACGCTATTCGTGCAGTAATAACTGTTTCAAAACAAGTAAATGCTGAGGCATTTCTTCTGCCTCTGCCTGCTGCCTTCTGCCTCACCCAACTAATTCGTAGATATTATTTGGGTAAGGCAATTTTTCTCGATGACTTCTCTAAGGTTCTTGGATAAGTATGTGGAGATTGCGATTATTATTTCTTACATATTGCGACCTCACTCTATCGGAACTCAATTTCATAATTTAAAACGTTTAAAAAAAAAAAAACTAAATAAGTGATTATCATAGTTCATTGTTTGGGCATCGTAATATTGTACTCAAATCGTGTGCTGTACTTAGGCCTGTTTCTAAAGTGAATCGTGATACATGAAGTCGTGTCGCGAACACGTGCGTGACTGTCAGTCGTAATTATTCAGTCAAGTCAAATTACAAAAGCGTTCAGATGAGTTAGTACTCTAGATGAATCTGTTAAATTTAAGATTAGAATACACACATATTTTCTTGCACTATATAATAGCTTTTTAGTATAATTGAATATGGCCCAGGTCTAGCAGGTGTAAAGAGTTAACATATAGGGAGCAAGTCCATGACGTGACAGATTAAGAACACAGAGTGTCACCACCCCTATTCATCCCGTGAGTGTCGTAAGAGCCGACTAAGGGAAAAAAAACTACGCAGAACAACAGCACCGCAAAGAGAAGGAAAAACTTGAAACAAACCCTATAGGGGAAGGTGGGGCAGCCTCATACAGTTTTTATATTTCGTGTTATAGAATTTACTCTAGTATCAATATCTATATCGATTCATCAAAAACTAGTAGTTTAACTATCTGACTTTATTTCAAGAACATGTAATTTGTGTAAATACACATGTGCGACTTTTAATAAAAGTTTTAAAAAAATAATTAAAATGTATGAATGTACCCCACATGCGGGGCACTCTCATACAGGCTATGGGGCAGATTCATACATTAAAAAAAATACACAAGTTTAGCATGAAAAGTTTAATTATTCATCAAAATAAAATTATCAAACCACAACGTTCTCGAAAGCAAAAGCAATTAGTCTATATGAGCAACTAATACTAAGTAATAACCAAATAATACTAAGTAAAAAAGAGAATAACATAAATGTAGGTAGTTTTTCTTTTTATGACACTGAAGGAAGTTAGTTAACCTAACAGTCTTTCTTGATTTCTTTGATTATAAATATTAAGTGTTTTTCCTGGATTGGAAACGTGCCATGCGTCATTGAAAGCTGTTTTTAATTTCGACTTTAATGGTCCAAATACTCCAACATCTAATGCTTGAAGGCGGTGAGTCATGTGAGGTGGAAAGGAAAGGCACACAATCCCATTGTCACGGCAGTAGTTGATTGCATCAATAGAAATGTGACTTCATGGTTATCATATAAAAGGAATATTGGCTTTTCTTTCGAACATAAGGTGTGTCTCTGAATGTGCTTTAGAACATCAATAAAAATGCTCGAGTTTATCCAACCACTTCTCGTGGCTACTCCTAAAGAGCCTTCTGGAGCATCTTCTATGAAGTGGTCCTTAAAATGTACTCAAGGGAAGATGAATAAGGGCGGTATGGTGTTTCCACTTGCTGAAATAATACCACCAAATGTGACCAGTTCTCCTCTTTCGGCAGACACTATTTGACCAACCTGTTTCTGGTTCTTGTCATCAAAAATTTTGGGTGTGCTCAGAACAGTAGAAATACCAGATTCGTCGTTGTTGTTGAAAATCCTATCGGCATTAAAATTGTGTTTGCGGTATATATTCTCTAGGATCTGGAAGAAATAAAAATGTGGGGCACATTCATACAGTATGAATGTACCCCGCTTACTGCTGTATGAACCAACCCCATCACAGGAAATTGAAATAAAAATATTCCTAAAAAAAAAACAACTGTAAATGTCATTATTCACATATCAATTTACAAACTTGATCCTATTAGCTTTTGAATAAAACAGTACTGAAAAATCTAGAAAAAAGCTTTTATTAAAAAAAAGATGTTTAAAGTGAGGTTTTAAAATTACTTACGCGTGGCCGAATCACGTTCCATGTCACCTCATCGCGAATTTCCCACTGACTGTTGTCAAACTCCGTGAGCCAATACACACATAAGTAAGCTACTCGTACACGGATAAGTCGTTCAGTTGATGTGCGCCTAACAACAGATATATCTAGTGTATGACGGTGCCCCTTGTATGAATCTGCCCCACTTCCCCCTACCATCCCCCATGGCCAGCGTGGCATAGTAGGCCAAAACCTCCTTTCTAAGGAGAGGCTTATGTCCAGCAGTGGACTATTAAAGGCTGTTGATGATGATAGGAAGGAAGGAAAAAGGACTTGAGTAAATTACAAGGAGTACTAATAATATGAGTAACACATTACTTAGTTTCTTGTAAACCCCTCATATGAGGCTTAATATGCTAGAGTTAGGAATAGGTTCAAGGCGGTAGTATCAGTAAAGAGGGATTTGATACCACAACCACTTGAACGCAAATCTAACATCACAGTCATCTTGCTACCGCCACTTTTCATATTTTTATTAATTGTAAATATTATGTAATTATGAATTTAAATTCAGTCAGTCCATAGTGAAGTTGTATAATTTATTTAGAAAGTTTTGTCTAATATTTAAATACTACAAATAAGAATATCAGTTAACTAACGAACATTTACATTTTTTTGAATTTTGAATACAATTTATAAACTATAAATCTGAATTTCCTTACCTGTATCGCTCAACGAAGCTCTGGAAAGGTATTCTTATAGGGTAGCCAGTCTGCCTAATCTTAATGGTGTCCAACATTCCAGTGTAACGGAGCTGGGCTAAAACGCAGGGCATGTCGAACTTCATGGGCGACTTGTCAGTGTTCGGCTTGATGCAACGAACGAACCAGGGGTTGCAGCGGGACATAGACTCGAGGAGCTGATGGAGACTGTCTGAGAACCTGGTTGGAGATGATTTTTATTAGATTAAATTTAAATTATACTTGGTACATATGGGCCGGTTTCTAGTGAGCACTCAAAGGGTGGTGACGCACTCGTATTTCTTGAATTTTAGGGATCCGAGGGACGGTAGTCAGTTATCGTCAGGTACCAGCATCTGCCAGTTTGCCTCGAAGAAAGTGACCTAACACAAGATGCAATTTATTTCAAACAAATTCCAGAGAATGAAAATCTTCAAAGGAAATAAGAATGCATCGATGAGAATAAATGTTACAAATGTGTAGGCTGTCTCTTTCTTACTAATAATTTGAATTCTTTAACCTGTGGGGTTAAAGAATTCAAATTATTATTAGGCTATGCTTTTTTAAATCAGTTTAACGCACTTTAATTCTCTGAGTGCGATTTGTGCCGTTATTAATATTAGATATTTTTCTTATAATGACAGAATACATCCATACCTAGCCGCAACAGTAGGTGTCCTAGGTTTCATAGTAACAAAGCGCCCATTGGCACCTCTTGGCAAAGTCTTATTGGCGTCATGTTGCGCGCGTAACTGCGCCGACATCTCTGCGACAAGAGGGACCTCACTGCTACATAACAGTTCCAGGACATCGGCTCTGAGGGCATCCCTGTTCTTGTCTAGAAAGCCCTCGACATTATACCAGACTTGTCCAGCGTAATGCTTTATCTGAAAATATAGAAGTTTATTGGTTTTAAAACAGTTGACTACTGAAGTTGACTACTAAAGTTCCAACTACTTTTTTACAACTACAATTCATGTATCTTTAAATAAGATATAATTCACGTATAAGCTAATCAATCTTATCAATGATCAGGGACTGATTGTACCTACATAAAATACCCATCCTGTCAGTCCTGTCCTGTCTTAATAAGAATGTTACTGTACTGTGGTGAAAAACTGCACTATTGCAGTGCAGTTTTGCCGTCTAACGAAAACACACCGAACAGAATAACTTTTAATCCTGCATCGCGCAATGAAAAAAGTGCCGATTAGTAGGTAGATATATTATAACTACCCAACTACGCGCGGTCCAACAGGCTGATTCCACCCAATCGAAATATTTTGCCTTTATGTTCCGAGGGACATATCACCCGTTCCTGCACACTAATTCAACAATAAGTTAACAGTATAGTGATATCATCAATTTATTTCATTTGTATTAAAAAAGCCATCAAGTTCGCTACAACAAATCGTTAACATAAAACTAATAAAGATATAGTCAAAACAGGTATGTCTTATACTCCCTAATTTCTGACAATAATATTATAATTAGGGGGAAGTCCCGTAGCGCCGGACGGCACCTAGCGCCGGACACTCATACTATTTTGACAAACGTCAACGCGATCTATTTATAAATCGGTGAAAGGGGTGCGGGGGAACGTAGCGAGACAGGATCACGCAACGCGATTTGCCAGTGAGACGCACAGTCGTGGTGGAAGCCGTGAATTGCTGTTTTTGGTGGGAAAGCGTTGCGTCACGTAAATTTCAAGTAAGTATTACTGCTATGGTTTTATCCTTAATTGTTTTTGTTATTTGTTAATAAAGACAGTGTTTCACTATAATTATTATATTGTGAACGTTTTTATTAAATACCTAAACAGTTTTAGTATGAAATACGTAATTTTGGACGTTTCCTGTCCCCTACTTTCGGACACAAAGGTGTCCCTTACCACCGGACAGTTTATAGGTTAGCTTTTTTATGAAGCATTTGTACTTATTGTAATGATGATTATTTGTTGTTTTACAGGATAGAAGGAGAGAGATATTTGAAAATGCAAGAGAGAAAAAAAAAGGAAAATGGGATCAGCAAAGTTTAAAAACTGCGATGAACAAGATTTTGTCCAAAAAAATGAGTTTGAGGGCAGCTTCGTCACGTTACAATGTTCCAAAAAGTACTCTACATGATAAAATAACGACATTGAGCAGTGGAAAAGAAGTCACGTTGCAACCAAAAGTTGGTAGATTCACAAAAACCTTCTCACCCGAGTATGAGCAAGTTTTAGTGGACCACATAAGAGATTTGTCTAATAGATGTCTGCCCCTGATGAAAAACGAGTTTTTGAAGTTAGCTTACGACTTGGCTGAAGCTATGAAGATTCCCCATGAGTAAACAAACCAAACGTGGCAATAACGACAACAGAAAGGAGCCGTTAACTGAAGTATCAAATATAGAAAAAACGACTTGTGTAGTGTGTTTAGAAGACCACGACGAGGACTGGATACAATGCTCCAGATACCAATAATGGGCTCATGAAGCATGTGCAGACGTTCCAGAATGTGGAGATGCCTACATATGTGATAGATGCTAAAAGTTTTAGAATGTCCGGCGCTTGGGGTTTGAAGATTAACCCGTCCGGTACTAGGTGCCAATGTCAAAGTCCTTTATTTTTTTACCAAAACTTATTTAACATTCCTAAACTATGTTTACGCAGACTTTGTATTTTTGTTATTAGATTTTGATTTTATGTTTTGTTAATTTAAGTAATTCATAAATAAATACATATTTCTCGATGTAGTTTTAATTTTATTTCCTGAAAACCTTATGTGTCCGGCACTAGGGGACTTCCCCCTAATGTATACACGACAGTACCCTTTAAACCCTTGTCCGGAATCGGGCAATTCCCATTATCATCATCTTCAACATCCTTTAGTAGTCTCCTGTCTGACATTGGCCTCTCTTTAGAACGGAGATTTGGAGTTACTGGTCAGACGGGTTAGTATAATAGGGTTTGTGTCAAGTGTTAATTTTCTTTGCAGTGCTGTTATCCTGCATTGTTTTCTCTCCTAGTCGGCTCTTACGACACCTATGGGATGAATGGGGGTGATGATACTCCGTATTCTTATTCCGTCACCACACGGATATGAGTGTATACTTTAAAAAATACTCTAGGATTTTAGAGGAATTTTAGATAGCAAATTCTATAAACGTCACTATGTGTAATGTGTCATGTCATTGAATGATAACTTAAACATTTGTGCTCAAGTAGAGGGCATAAACAATACATATTAGAAGTTCATTCGGTACAAAAAGTTTCGAAGATGTTTTGCCTGCCACACAATAGAGGCAAAAACCTCAAACAATGGTATTAACATAACATATTAACATCATTCATTCTTGACAATCTGCTGTCAATGACCATGTAAAATTAAGAGAACGTATTGCGAAATCGTAGTCATCAACCTCACCTTGAACTATCACGAACTAAAATTTTATAATATTGAGTGAGTCAAAAATAGTCCTTACGTTTAAATCTGGTTAGTTCTGGTAGTAGGTAAATTGTAGCAAGCTCACCCCAAATTCGTTTGCTCCTAATCTTGGTCTTGAATAAAGCTCATTTAAAGCGTGATTATAATGGCACTTCTCCAGGAAAGAGGCATCTGATGCCCGAGGGAAGTTGCTCTCATCGTCGAGAAGGTGCAGAATTCCCACAGGCTTTTTACTCAACAATTGTATCACTGCAAAAGAAATTCAACATTAAACTTCATTTTAAAACATGACAATTCAATTATTTTCTAAAATATAAGAACTTTAAGAGGAAGTTACCCGGAGAGTTGTCGTTCCAAGTTAAGTTCGACCATTCCAGTCTCTCTTTTTGATACTCCTGTTGCTCCAACTTAAATATATGTTTATTGAAATAATGCTGCAGTGTTTCGTTGGCGTAGTTAATGCAAAGCTGCTCAAAAGAATTCTCTTCCAAGTCTTCAAAACCAAAGATGTCCAGGAGAGAAATTCTGTGAGCGTCGTGTAGACCAGCTCGATGAACTATCGAATTGATTCGTAAAACCAGCCAGTTGAATAATGACGAGTATAGGGCTTTGGCAAAGGCATCTCTCGCATCTAGAGCTTGGTCGATTGGTAGTGGCGACCTCATCCGTTCTGCTCTAGCTGCTGTCACCCTAGTGGTTAAAGCCCTGGCTAGCGCTTCAGCAGGTACTTTAAGCAAGTGAGCAGCCCAGCGAACTTCCGCACCCCCACCCAATTGTACACCTTCTTGTCCGTGCCGCAGCTGTCTTCTATGAAAATATACATTGCCTAAGTGCAAAACAGATGCTAAAACTCTAACAATATCTTCTCGTTCAGCGTCTCCTATACCAAGGACTTGCATAGCACCACAGAGCGCAGACCAATCTGCTCCAGCACCTGCACCACCAGAATCGCCGCCTTGATTTAAATAAAAGTAATGTTCAGCTGTCAAAAGACCTCGAGAACGTCTTTGTTCTTGATCTAATCCAGCAAGTAATTCATAGAATACATGGTAATTTCTTTCTCCTGGTGACTGCGTCACTATTCGGGATTTTTCTAGTAAGTAATGTGCAACTCTTGCTCCAGCTAAGGAGCCATCTTTAAAGTATAATTCTAAGAGTTTCCCAAATCGACTAGAGTTGTGATTTTTTGGTGTCCTTGCATTACCAAAGGCTTCGAGAAGAGGAGCTGCTTCCAATATCTGTTCAGAGACTGGTGCTCTGCCTGGAGGTGCGGGGGCAACTGCAGCCAGAAATTGGACTGCTAGTTTGGTGGATTCGGTTTTTCCTGCGCCGGATTCGCCTGAGATAAGGATGGCTTGAGGTTGTGGGAGGGACGCACGTGCCGCGGCCGCTATGGCAAACAAATGAGGTGGGAGATCGCCTAGTGCCTCTGCTGCGTGGTATCTAAAACACAATCGTTAGATTAGAGTGAGAATCGGAACAAAATTCAATTTACAAAAGGGGGAAAATCGGTACGCATTCTTCGACTGGGTACGATTTAATATAATTAATAGTAAGAGCGAGCAAATCAAAATTTCGTAAGTTTTTTGTAGGTTAAGAAATCATCACAACTTGAAAGCAAAATACGGATGACATCCTTAATTTTTTGATTAGGTGAATAAGTTTCCTCAGTACAAATTTACAAAAACAAAAGTGAGTAAATTTAGCTTGGCTTTTAGTTTTAAAATTATACAAGAATAATAATTTCTGAAGTGAAACTATTATTCGTAGATATCAAAATAAAAACTTGAGTGAGTGGTCGTTTTGATATTTTTTAAAGGTAAACGGCTTAAATTATACACACACATCTTTGAAAAAGAATCTGAAATCCTTTAACAAGTTATATAAAATATTGTTAAGATTTATTATTGGCTGGCGTAGCAGTGATAAAAAGCCAAGGAAAGGTGACGTCACCATTTTACGTTACGTTACGTCACGTTTTAGAATTAGAATTTTCGCTTACCTTCTCGCAGTCTGCAGTCCGTACAGAGCGTCGACAGGTCTATAAGGATTCACAGCTACTAATATAGACCCCGCATAGGTATATATTAATCCTTGTTCATATCTGAGCTTCAGGTTCCATAGTAGTGCCGCTTCGTGTAGGTCGTGGAGACGAGTCATGTCATCTACGCCTGTTGGACCTAACTCTTCCCTCGGCCATACTGGATCGCCTTCATCTTCACCATTGCCCATTTGGAGGGCGAAAGTTTGTGGCTGAGAAAATGAAACAAGAAATTTAGAATTATGACATCGATAGGTTCATAAGTATTGATATTTTGTCACAATGTGTTTTAATTTCTTAAACTAATTGTGGAAGAAATTCTATCGTGGGAGAGCCATCTTTCGGCACATATGGGCATGGCCCGAGCGGAGTGATACCAGGGTCTCACAGAAAACCAGTCTTAAGCAGTTCTGTCGTTTCTTTTCACCGAGTGCGTGAGGTTACCGCAGCCCAAACCATCCGCCCTTCCTTTCTGTGGGAGGGACTGAAAGGGCCGCAACGCATTTGTGTCTCTTGAGTTGTAGGTGTCCATGGGCGTCGGTAGTCATCATCAGGTGACCCGTCTCCTAGTTTGCCCCTCCCCCCTTACCATAAATAAACCTAAAACCTTTAAGCTACTCATCAAATATAACGTAACTTCTAACCTCAATTACGTGATTGCTATAATTACCGCCATTCTAATTCCAGAACTAAATTTGTAAAAAGAAATAACATAACGTCAGTAGTACGGAAAATTATAAAGTGAAGACCAAGAGCCGTAACTGTGACATAATATAATGACTCTTCACAATTGTATCAGGCCATCTTTCACGACCCGCTTCTACTAAAGTCGTTTCGCTATCGAGATCATTCAAATTTGATACAATTCAGTGCTTGCACTCTTCCCGCGTTTGTTTACCTTTACTGTAATAACCGAGTAATGGAGTGTTAAATTAATTCATAACATCGTTATTGCTGTTATAACGGTGTAAGATACTTTGAAATTTGCATATGATGGCATTTTACATTACACGGACGCTGCGCTTGAGTAAATCTTTAGCAATCAAGTCATCTGATAAACACGATACTGCTAATAACTGTCATATAATTTATACATTCTCACATAGTAACAAAATGTAAGTAAACATTAAATTTCATATATAAGAGTTAATATTAAGCATCACTAAAGGCATTTAACTGCAATTTCATTTGTTAAGATCTGCATTTGTCGAATTGTTTTTGTCCTGGGGATAAGCAAACAATACTTGCTCATTTGCTACCGAATTGGTCAAAGATGCCTTGTGTAGTGGACAAAAGTTGCATATATCACTTACTGCCAGTGGCTTGGGTGGCTAGTGATGGCTGGACATTTGAAAAAAAATCCAAGACATATTCAAAGTAAGAATAGGAAGGTATGGAACATAACTTAAAGTTTGATTTGAAATGTCTTTATTTATTTACGCCCTGGGGTTGACGAAACCTACAACGGTAAACTCATGCCCAGTTATCTAACCACGCAGTCAGGTCAATTTACTGAAGTTCCTACGTTTTGTATTAAACTAACAATGATTTATTGTAAAATATTTGTACATAGTTACATTGTTCATTAATACATCCAGGCATAACTCCTTTAAAGATTGAACAGACGGTGGCCTCCATCGTTTTGTAGTTTTACTGGACGTGGTCAATTGTACGTTGGATGACCTTGACGTGCTTGACATTTTCTTCATTATAGACTTGAGTGTCTTTGGCTCGCAGCTGTTTTGCCTTTTAGAGTGGCGTTTACATGAAGAATCACAAGGACTACAAGAGAAGTAAGATTTTAACGATTCTGGGGAACTGTGTGGCGTGGGAGCAAAACGAACCCGCATCAGCGCTCAAGAATTTTTCGATTAGAACATTCCGAAGTAACCTAAACTTCAATTTCCAATGCTATTTATTTGTCGCGGCATCGATGTGTCCTTTTCATAATTTGTCACAACACGATCACAAGCACACATTATCTTAACGTTAAACGTAACCTGAAATGTTTTATTTGTAATAGAAAAAAAAACTCAAAAGGTATAGTGCAGAATTGCATTGCGTAGTGTTGCGTGGAACGCAAGTCGCGAGCTAACTGATTGTACCACATACCGGCATCCTAGAACTGTTACAGGTACTTTGGATAACGGCTTAGACGAGTCTATACATATAATAAAGTTCTAAGTTACTTTGTTATTTTCTCTGTCTAAAATTACCAACTGGACTTTAAAAGCTCTTTTATTAGCGTAACTCTTCAAGGACGGTTTCATGCCTTATATACTACCTACGATCCTGTACAGGGCAGTGATAAAAATGCACACAAAACTGCGGCAAACTACTAGGTAAGTAAAACAAAACTGAAGATTACCGCTTTCTATCTCTGTCGGTGTATGTGAATACACACAAATATTCGTGTTAACGGGAAGTTGTAACAAGTTTATCAATTGTAATGTGTATCGCCTCGTTTCATTTACATAAACAGAGTTAATTGAAAAATCATGTAGATTTAACTGGTATTCACTCGTTATAATATTTGATTTGTATCTGAATTATGTTAAGTTAAAAGTTTAGTACAAATTGCATGGTCAATCAATTATTTTATTATTATATAAACACGCTATAACTTCGACAGTCTGATCGGCGTTTATTATTCTCTAATTACTCTTTAACAAATGGCAATACTTTGTTTTATAAATGTTTCGTATTAAAAAAATACTAAAAATTACAGAAACTGGAGAAACACTGTTTTTTAGTAACTCATAATACGAAAATAAACTATCAGAATAATAAATTTGATTACCCAATTCTTGAAAAAAGTTTTGACATAATGGTACTTAAAGTAAAATCGGGTAAAATTGCGGTTTCGGCTTTAATATACTAAAATGTGTATGGTAATTCTTGACGTTTACCTATATCTATACAAATAAATAAAATTGGAGTGTCTGTTTGTAATATTAAAATAACCGCTTTTTACCAAATGCATATGTATGTTTACACGGTACATATGCCAAAATATCATTTTTTTCAATTTTTGTCTGTCTGTCTGTGTGTCTGTTTGTTCCGGGTAATCTTTGGAACGGCTGGACCGATTACAACGGGACTTTCACTGGCAGATAGCTGATGACATAAGGAGTAACTTAGGCTACTGTTTTTAGACTAGCTTCGCCCCGCGGGTAACACCGCGGGTCTCAGCTAGTATTCTATAAATAAAATATGAGGGGAAAAATGATATATTTTTTAAACAATATATTTTGTACAGTTGAAATATGTTAAAACAGCTCTATGAAGCTATAAGGGCCACAGGGGCTAGGCCCTGATACAGTGGCAGGTCAAGTTACACTGGACAACAAACTGCAAAACGACATTCAAAGCGGTTAAAATACGACCATCCGATTTTTTGACACCGTGATCTCTTGTTATTTATATTAGATACTACCTTTTGGCTGCGATTTCCTCCGCGTGGTACTCATCATTTTTGATAGAGTATTTAATTATACTACGTTTGGAATCGATAATAAAATAAATCGCCATACAAACTTGCACCCCTTTTTAAGGGTAGTTTTAAAACAACGTTTTTATACTTTTAATAAAGAGTAACATATTTACTGTGTTTGAAAACGCGACTACTAAAAATAATTAGGTTTCATATACATTTCCCGACCCCATTTTGCGCTCTTAAGGGTGGAATTTTTAAAAATCCTTTCTCAGTGCACACCCATGTCGACTAAGGAACATTTGTGCAAAATTTTCCCAGCAGTTTCAGCTGCTATGCAATGCTAGGTTAGGAACAAGTTTTATGTGGCATTTCTTCGAAGAGGAACAGGAGTGAGGGGGGGGGGTATTAATACTTTTCTAATATCATTAAAAGTTGATTACACTGGTTAACACTAATGGTATTTTTTTATGAATGATTTTATAGTTATGTGCGGCTGTGCGCCACCAGACGCGTATGCGTGTTGTGAGATATTTCGGTTGTTTAATGTGTGAAGTGATAACGAGGTGTAAGAAACGAAAAATTGACTTAAATTATTTAGAAAGGCCTGCTGATTGGCCGTTTAAATATACGTAGAGAAAATCTTGTTACGTTTTAAAACCCATAGAGTTTTAATAGCAATCGAATTGTTGAAGTACATTCGATACTTTCATTGACATTGATTTATTATTCGGAGCTCCATAACATCATCATCACATCAACAGTATTTAATAGTTCATTGTTGGACATAGGCCTCTTCTTAGAAAGGGGCTTTGGCCTGCTATACCACGCTGGCCAGACGGGTTGGTGCAGGGTTTTTGTATAATTTTCCTTCTGTCTGCAATGCTGTTGTCCTGTGTAGTTTGCTTTCTCTGTCGGCTCTTACGACACCCACGGGTTGGATAGGGGTGGTGACACTCCGTATTCTTAATCCGTCACCACACCGATAGCTCCATAACACCTTAGACATTTTCGATAGCAAATCCGGTAATTTAAAAACATTGTTAGTTGTACTTGAGTGTTTAATTAGTTTTTTAATCCTGTTAATATTATAAACGCGAATGTTTGTGAGAATGGATAAATGGATGTTTGGTATTATTCACCGCACAACGGCTAAACAGATCTTGATAAAATTAGGCACAAAACCTCAGTATAAATTCCTTTTCATTCTAAGTTCGTTTTCTTCCTAAATATTATATAGTAACACAGACCTATGATTATTCTGTATACAAATAGCTAGGGCCCTAGGTCATTTTTTCTGTGACAAAATATCTGACTAATAATTTATTACAGATTAAATGTTCAACACAGTAAACAAGCTACATGGCTTCAAGGTCCAGAATCCTTTAACTAATCAATAATTCACAAAAAGCTATTATTTTGATTGTAGTTTCTTTTAAATTCCTGTCCATAAACTGGGTAACAGACAACTTAATTAGATAATGCCTAATAATTAGTTCCTGTCTTACAGGCCCGGGAAGTGCATGAATATTAATTGTTTAGAAAATGAACCGAGTGTAATCGTGGACAAGGTCTATTGGACATGTACAATGTTCATTAGACATGGCCATTTATATTGAGATCAAGAACATAACTATTGCGTACCATTCGCACTTGTAGAATTTCTGCTGTTTTTTTATTCTGTGCATAGGGTGACCGTTACGTGACTTTATTAAAATGCCAGGATTTTGAGAAGTATGAACTCGCGTTTTAAAAGTAAAAAAATATAATCGTAGATAT